CTTTGCTTCTCTTCTTACATCAGCCAAACCAAATTCAACCTGGGCCTCTGCAGGGACCCTATTTCCAAATAAGGCCACAGTCACAGGCACCAGGCTTGGGGGTTCTGTCTAACATCTGCAGTGGAAGCAATCCGGCTCACAGTGGCCATGAGGAAGCACTCTGAACCACTCATTCCACTTGCAGTAGGGGAAAAAGCCACCAGAAAGACTCATCATAGAAGAGTGGTGTCCCTTGGTTGATGTTCCATCCACTCATTTCATTAGCATGGCAGCATGACTTACAGGATTGTTAACAAAGGAAACCATTAACAGCTGTAGTCATGGGGATTAAATTTTGACAAAAGCCAGAAAAAGTATATATTGGTACAAATACCATCTGACATGCAGGAAATATTGTTCACAGCTGTGTGTGTGTGTGTGTGTGTGTGTGTGTGTGTGTGTGTGTGTGTGTGAAATAGTTAAGTTCTAGCTCCAGGACTTAAGAAATATAGATTAGGACAAATTGGAAGTGGAGTGGCCTTGCAGTTTCTACAATTAAAGACAAAATGTGCTCAGGGGCTCCTGTAGAAATGATCAAGTCCTCAACTGCAGCTCCCAGGAAGGGCTTGGTGTCAATTTTTCATGTGTAACGTTTAGTACTCTCATTCCCCTGATGCGAACCAATCTTGCTATGATTGATTTATTTTCCAGGAGCAAATTAAAAGATTTCCCTCATCTATATTACACAGATAAAATGCTTTTTGCTAGTCTGTAGTTGTAGGTCCACAGTAGAGTACTTGCCTAGCAATTTCAAAGCTTGGGTTCAGTATGAAGCACCTCAAAACTGGGTGTCGGTTTGAACTGTGAAGTTGTTCTTCATTTAAAACTTATTCTGGCAGAGAGAAATGGGCTAGTAATGACAGCCAGCACATAAAACTTGGAGTCAAAAATGGTGTTACAAGCCTGTAAAACCAGTACCTTGGAGGCTGAGCAGGAAGATTGTGGGCTTTAAGCCTGCCTGGACTATATAGCCAGACCTTGTTTAAGGAAAGAAAAGCAAAAAAGAAGATTAAAAAGGGCTGTTCATTCATATTTTTATAAGTATTGCATTCATTTATTTAAAAATAGTATTTAAGACTTGTGAGATGTAATTCCTGAACCTATTATTCTTCTTTCATGAACGTTTAGGCTTGTTTTATACTTGAAAGGCTTAGTCTGAAGTATTAACCCTCGTGCATCTCATCTACAATAATGTAAGCAGACATCCCATCAAATGCACGTAGCAACACAGGAGGGAATTAATGTGAATGCTCAGAAAGGGTCAAGCCCACATGCAAGGAGACAGCATCATTAATCTGTGCACCAGTTCAGGAGAGTTTTATATTTACAGCTGAAGATGTACATATGGGACTCCTATTAGGAGAATTAGATTTGAAATGTAATATGAACATCTCAAATGATTATCAAGTACATATCTTAGATGAGCAAGTAGCACATGCATGTAATTAATCATAGACAGGAACTATTACAAGTGACACATTTGGTTGTTTTGTGCTTTATAATCATCTTATATTAATTGTAAGAAGTAAGGAGTATTTCCATGATGCATATAATATATTGAATCATATTTACCCATTTTTATTGAATTGACCTACTAATTTGCTTTCACTTTGCAAAACAGAGTTGATTTGCTATACCTAGGGGGTTCTAATTATTTTTAAAATAAAAACTAGCAGAAACTAAGTGCCAGAAACTCATGTCTGTATGTTAGATTCTCAAGAAGCTAACTAAAGAGTGCAGCTTAAAGTCAATTTGGGCATAAATAACCAAAATAACCAAAAAGAAAGCAGGACTTGGAGGTATAGTTCAAGTGGTAAAATACTAATAGAGCAAGAAAACTGTGAGTGTGAATTTAAACCCTAGCAAGATGAACAATCATTCAACATAAATAATAAGATCAAGTAGAGTATCTTAGTGCTAACTCTCTGGTCCATGATTTAGTGTCCATTTGATAACTCTCTGGTCCATGGTTTAGTGTCCATTTGATATGCTACAAATTAGGACCCCATGAAGCTACTAAGAGAAATGATCTTGATAGATGTGCATGGCTAATTCTTCTAATCCTAGCTACTGAGGAGGCTGAGATGCAAAGGATCATGCTTCAAAGCCAGTTTGGGACATTCTATTTCTATAGTCTGGAAATAGTCTAACCAACAAAGTGATAGACTAAAAGTATGGCCCAAGAGAGAGAACACCAACAGTGTGCTAGAGTACAAGGTCCTGAGTTCCATCTGGAGTACCAGTAAACACATACACAGAGAGAGAGAGGAGGGGGGGAGAGAGAGAGACAGAGAGAGAGAGAGAGAAAGAGAGAGAGAGGGAAGAGAGAGAGAGAAAGAGAGAGAGAGGGAAGAGAGAGAGAGAGAAAGGTTTTGACATTTTGAGAAAACTTTTGTATTGCAACAATCAAATTGTTTTAATGGGATCCATTATTCGTTAAAAACGTACATTTACTTTTGACCTGTATGGTCAAATAAAAAAAAATATCCCAGGTATGAATCCTATCAATGGCATTCTCGGTGATCTTAAAGTGGAATAACAAAAACATGCTGCAGTAACGTTAACTCATGCAGAAGGGAGAATGTGGCATGTGTGTATGTGTGAGATGTCAGCAAGCTTCTGGGCCATTTTCAGGCACTCAATGTAGACCAGCTCTCCTACTTTATTCCATATGCGGATTCTTTTGTGTTTCTGGCATAAAACACTTACCTGCTGTTCCCTGCTGAGAAGGAGACCCTTGCTTTCCTCTCGAGGTCTGCTTGTGTCAGTGCAGAAATGAGTTTTGGGATCCCTGCATCCCAAAGGGGCAGGTTTTGCCTTTAGAAATTGTCTGGATTCCTATAAATAACTTCAAAATTGCTAAAGCTGCACATGCCAAAATCATTTATTGCAGCCTGCCAAGGAGTCTCCATTCTTAGCTTTACGCCAGCCCTTTTTTGTCAAGGCATTATCTCCAAGTATAAGTTCTGTAGGCGATGGCATAAAATAATTCCTGCTGTATTCCTGCGGGAGCTCTGAACTCCCTCACAGTAGGACACAGGAAGACTAAGGTTTTGGGGAAAGCACAGAAAGAACTAGAAGCCACAGGCATCCAGAAGTGAGAGGAAGGACCTGAGGAATCGACTCTGTGGCAGAGTGAGGGTGCAGAGAACTCACAGATGTGCTCTAACATTTTCCAAAGACCAGTGGTTAGAACTCGGCTACTAGTTCTGTCCTGTCCTCCCCTCCACTCTTCTCTCCTTCCCTCCTCTTCACCTCAGCATTCCCTTTCCTTCCTTTCCTTCTCTTCCTCTTTCATTCCCTTCTTTCTTCTTCCCTACTCTTTTCTTCCCTTCTCTAACACTTTCCTTCCCAGTCCTTCCTTCCCTCCCTCCTTTTCTTTCCTTCCTCCCTTCTTCCCTTTCTCCTCCCTCCCTCCCTTCCTTCCTTCTTTCCTTCACCCCTTCCTTTTTTCCCTCCTTCCTCCCTCCCTCTCTTTTCCTCCTTCCTTCCTTCCTTCCTTCCTTCCTTCCTTCCTTCCTTCCTTCCTTCCTTCCTTCCTTCCTTCCTTCCTTCCTTTTCATTTATATTCAATGTGACACCACTATCCTTGTAGTTATTGTTTCTGTAGAATTTACACAGAGATAGATAGCCAAGCCTAGTGAGAGCCTGGTAAAGTTAACTCCACTATGTGCTGCATCAATCACGCCGCACTCACCACCAGCCTGAATCTCACAAGACTACTCGCGTTCACGAATGCGCCAAGCCCCAGACTATCTGGGAGCTGGGGTCCATGAGCCTCTCCACTCCTGAAAATGCTCTGTTAGACTCTAACCAAAAGGATCTCTGCCGGTTATTTTAACAAAATAGGCTGAAGATAAATAATTATTCATTATTAAAAAGGAATTGACTACTTCTGTGAGCAAGAGAACTGGGAAGAATATAGGAAAAGCACATGTCAGAAGCAGATACTCCTGCTGGGGCTAAGGAGTGTGTGTTCATCCCCTACCCTTAGAGATGGGCTCATAGCCATGTGTAAGTTGAACGGGGAACTCCATAAACAATAATGAGCAGTGGAGATGCTTCCTATGACCAATGCCTAAGAGTTAGTGCAAAACTTCCCTTGCCTCTAAGCTGGATGTACAGAGAGGTTAGAAGCACAGCAGTTCCCAGGAGTGCCACCAAAAAATGTCACTCTGAGGGGCTGGGAAGGTGGCTCAGTGGTAGAGCGCTTGCCTTGCATGTATGAGGCCCTGGGTTCGATTCCTCAGCACCACATAAGCAGAAAAAAAAGCCAGAAGTGGCACTGTGGCTCAAGTGGTAGAGCTCTAGCCTTGAGCTGAAGAGCTGAAGGACAGTGCCCAGGCCCAGAGTTCAGGCCCACGACTGTACCCCCCCCAAAAAAAATGTCACTCTGGGTTTAAAAGATGTGGTATAACCAACCTAATTCATCTCATCAGGCCCTTAGTGGCCACGGGTTTCGCTTTTCAGTATAGTTTGAGAGGAGAGAAAAACCCACTGGGAACCGTTAGCATAAACCCTAAGTCACTGTGGCACAAGAACAGTTCCATGAAGTTTCTCTGAAGTAAGGAACTTAACTATTTCCAGTTGGTCATGAGGAGTTCACAGCTCCGATGTTCTGAAGATTGCATAAGCCAAGGGCACCAAGCAGCAGCCGACAGTACGGAGCTCACCTCTGCTTGGAGCCATTGCTCTACCTGCCTAGCAATGGGATGGAGATGCAGCCGGGCCATGACGTCCTGTGCTTGCTGGAATGCTTTGTGAGCCTAAGTGTCACTACACAGAGTTTAATATAGTTCCCTGCAAAATGATTCTGACTTCCTCCATGATTCTTCAGGGTTTTATCGAACACAAACTATATCTGGCCACTGATTGCCGATTGGGGCTGAATGAAGCATGGCGTCTGCTTTTTGCCTGCCTGATATGTATAATGCCATTGTTTTTCCTTCTTTTTCCTACAGTCTGGGGCCGATGTTCTTCTCCAGGATGTCAACGGAAACATCCCCCTAGATTACGCTCTCGAAGGGACAGAATCCAGCTCTATCCTGTTGACCTATCTGGATGAAAATGGTAGGCTGGAACTTTTTTGAGGGGAAAAATAAATAAAAACCTAGAAATAAATACATTGTGGAATTATACATACCTGTTCATCTTCATAAGTATGCTGCTATGCATTCACACTGACATTTCCTCCGTGAGTCAGTGAATACGGCCCTTCCTTCCTCCCTTCCCACTGTTTGCATTGAATTGTGCAGTCCTTGAGGCTGCTTTCCACAAGCCGGCAGAAACCTAGAAGGCAGTGGTGGAGGGAAGCTGAGCAGCATGTGAGGTGTGTAATGAGCAGGACAGTGTTTGTAATTATGAACTATTCAGGAAGGGCAGTGAGCCAGCACACAGTGGAATTTCAAGATCATGGGAGCCAGGTCATCTTAAGTATTTTCTCCCCAATGTGCGGGATCCCAGTCAAATGGGAAGCCATTGACATCACAAGCAGAGCCGTGTGGGTGGCCTGCCTTCATCCGCTCGGTGATGCTGAGCAGCAGGAGCATCCGCAGAAGAGAGCCCCTGGCTGTTACAATGTGAGCCAGAAAGACATGGGGGCTGAGCTCCGACAGGTGGCTGACAGGGACAGGGGAGTTAATTACACGGAGCCAGCATGTAATTCATGACTCAGCCCTGTTGGGGGTGGGAGAGTAGGAGGCCCTGGAATCCTGGGGCGTGGCATGGCGAGAAAGTGGAGAGCCACACAAGCCCTCCTTTGCCCTGCTGGTGAGGTACAGATGACAGCCAGGAGGGGACAGTGCTTTACAAAGATGACCCTGCTCAGAGGGAAGGTTCCACTTGGAAGAGGCCCTGGCCCAGTGAAGCTCCCCTTCCCACCACTGAGGGAAGTGGTCCCATCATCTTCCCTGTGCTCTGCCTGCTTAATCTCCTGCACTTGCTTGTCTTACAAGGTTTATTCTTAGGAGAGCTTAAAATAATAATTAGTACTTGGCAGTCACGAATTCATAAGCACAAGGTCTCATTGGTTCACAAAAGCAAGGGAGGAGAGGTTTGCCTTGACGCATATGAGGCTGCCTAAGCTGAAGGTCACCTAGGCAAGGTCAAAGCAGTATACAGGGAAGGATGCTTGAAGCCAGGATTTCCTGGCTGAAGGTTAATGCCCACGTCCCCTGAACAACTTGCGAGGAAGGTCACAGTTCTAGATTTTCTGGAAAAACTTAGTGCACGGTGCTGACCACCATATGTACTTGAGGTAGGCTGAAAATCTAGTCAAGAGAGTAAGAACCGATGACGATTGCTTATTACAAAAACAACTATGTAATCATCATCATAATCAAGAGAGAAAAAAGAGAGATTGTGCTGTTGGGAATGGACTTGGCTCCAAATCCATGAAGCTGGCACATTAACTCTGTGCACTTCTTGTCTGTATATAAATAAAATAGATTTCCAGCTGCCACATCAGAAATAATGTGGCTGTGCTTCTTTGGCGAGCTAGTTTTATGCCTGTTTTCTGCTTTTCATATTGGTCTGAATTTCTGAAAGCCACAGTCCTAAATGTTTCCTTTTAGAAAAGAAAATTGAATAGCTGCTAGCAAATACATCAACATCCTTCTACATCTTTCCAACTCAGTAGAAGGTTTTGTTTGGTAGGAAATATTGGTATGTGCACAGCTGACATGATCTAGCCAAGGGAAAGCCCCCAAATAGGTGTATTACTGTGGAAGGTTGATTTAAAAAAAAAAAAGGAACAAAAATAGGAGGACGCTCCCTTCTCTGATGACCAGGAGAAAATCTGTCATGAGTGTGGCTGCCATAATCAGTTTGTAAGAAACACATTTTCTGGAACAAACTCAATTTGATATCTCTACAGTTTTTAATTCCATTTTCCTTTTGTCAGTACTGGCTGGATCTTTTCTTCCATCTGCCCTCCCCTCCCTTCCCTTCCCCCCCCCCCCCCCGCTTGGGCTTTTTCTGCATCTGTCAGTCTCTGTCCTGCATCTGCACAGTTCCATGTAAACACCATCCACCTCCATTTATTCCCTGGCCCTCTCCATGGAGCACGTGTGGAATTATCTGTGGTAGCAGCCTAGGCTGATGTCTTCCCAAATCTCTCACTTTGCACACTGAGGAGATTGCTGTTCTTGGGCCCTTGGTATTTCAACCCTGGGTGGCCATCACCGGGCAGTGGCCAAGCCTGCATCCTTCCCATGGTGCCTCTTGCTGCTGCAAATTGGTAGATGCCGTGCTGTCTGCTGCCACGGTGGCAGGGGGAGCAGGCGAGGTCCCCAGCGAGCTGATACCTGGAAGATCCCTCGTCACCGGCCCTAATTGTACTGTCACTCCAGCTTACGTTGCGAACCTGGGCCCAAGCAGTTAACCTCAGCTCCCCACCTAGGCTTCTGAGATGTAAAATGGGCCAGTCAAAAGGGCTGATTGAGCCTTTGACGGATGTTATATCTCCCGCACAAGGCAAACCAGCCGGAGCACAGGAAAAGCAATCAATTCTGAAATGAAATGCATAGGGACAAAAGCAGCGAGGGCAGAGATCAAGGTGATGTGGGAAGAGTATCAGCATGTATGTGTGTGTGTGTATACATACATATGTACATATTTACATGTACATGTATACACACATACTTATGTATATATTCACATATGCACACGTATATAATACCAGGGCCCCCATCAAAGCTGATACTTCACTGACTGGGCAGACATCACACCCCACCTGCTCCGAGGTCCTAGGGGGAAAGCTTGGCCTGCCTGCCCCGTTACTCTGCTGCTGGCATTCAGCTTCCTATCCTGCCAGCCACTTGGAATGCCCCAGCAACTTCTGCCAGAGAGCTTTCTACCCACAGCCCACCTTAGCCTTCCAGAACTTTCTATACCAGGGCCATTTCTTTCTTCTCCTTATGACCTTATGTCTCTTCAGCGGTCATCAGCCTCAGCCATCCAGCCAGAAAACTCTCTGGTGGTTTTTCTGCAGTTTTCCTTCCCTCTCTGTGAGCCTCTTTCCATGCTGCCTTTTATGCCCCGATTCCATTTGGGTCCCTCAGTGTCAGCCTTCCTGGAGACCTTCCTTTTCCTCATTGCACAATGTCTAAGTGACCCCACTCTTTTGCTCATGTTGTTACCACTGTCTAGGTCCCAGGATTATTGCTCAGGCTTTATTGTTGTGAAGACCTTTAGCCTCTATGGGAAATGTTTTTAATATGCATCTTGACTTGGAGGTCAGATGATTTGAAATAGCATGTCCAGCATGAAAGCTGTTACTGTCCTTTCATACTCTGTATTCACTCCTTTTCCATAAAAGCATGGAAGGCTACTATCAGAACATGTGCTTTCTCTCATGCATCATGTATAATTGCCACCAAGCTCCAGAGTGTCCTTCTTTGATACCTCTCCACTGTGATCCCTTCCTTTACCAATCATGCTGTTGCTGCGGTCTTTCTAATTTGGGTAAGTGCATCATGTCCAAAGCTTGTCACTGTACCTTAATCATTACAATTCATTGTCTATCTTTCAGAGGACTCCTGATTAATTTGGTTAGGATAATCCCACGTATTTCTTTTGTTTAATGGAATTTATTCACAATGCATTCCTACACTGTGCTTTTCAGCTTCACACAAAGTTGGGTTTGGTCCTGCCAAATTGTTGAGGACAGTCCCCAGGGATGCCCGCTGTCCAGGTTCAGGGGCAGGGCTAGGTTAAGGATCTAAGGCCAGGATGTGTTCGTTTCCCATTGTCTGCCTAACTCTGCATGAGTCTGCCTGAGTCTGGGGCTTATTATGCCCATGAAGCCTAATTCTCTGAGATAAAGAGATGCATATTACAGTCCCAACATGTGTCGTATCACAACAAATGACAGAGGGCTCTTTGGAGATATTTCACTTGTACCCAAATGATGATTCAGAAACAAAATGATGAAAAAAATTGAGACAGGCATATCTGATACTCTAAAGAAGGAGGGGACAATCTGCTGTATGGTCACTTCAGAAAGATCTCACAGTGGTATGACAGTACCACTAACCCAAGTAGGGCTGGGAAACCTGGAGGGAGGGGGGTTGGTTTTCAGAATCCTGTGATGTCTAGGTAGCTGGCCCAGAGCAGGTATGAAGGAACTATGGAGAAAGGACTGTGGTCCCCTGGGGGGCATTTATCTCAGGACATTATAGCACAACCGTACAGCCACAGTATAGCCATGTTACAGCCATGGTATAGCCAGTGCAGAGAACCACACACAAAGAAAGAGTTTTCCTTCTGAGGAGAGTTAAAGAAAGTTGACAGGTTCAGATTGACGTGAGCCATTAACAGAATGTAGGTTTCTATTAAGTATTATTAAGTGCAATAAGGCAGTATGGGCCACCACATCACATTTAAGAACTAGGAATTCCAGGAGAATGGCTTTATTTCTCCTATTTTCTTAGTGAAAAGGAATGCCAGCTTTCTCTTACAGGAATAAATCTAAGCATGCCTGGGATTAATTTCTTTTTCCAAAATGAGTATAAAAATGACAATATATTAGGAAAATATTACCCCTTATCCATTACCCATTACCAAATAGATGTCCTGTGGCCTAATGTCCTATTGCTTGACTTTCTTCAAGTGTAATGAACAACTAATTTAGTCATTTACATACTACTGTCAAAAAGATTTTTGGACATAAAACAAAAATCTAAACATACATCTTAATTGATATCATATTTGATTCAGTTTTTAGCCCTTAATTAAAAGAGTAATGTGTCATAGCAACACCTGTGATATCTTCACTGCAGAGGCCACAGGTTGAGTCCTGATGAGCAGTGTCTCAGTCCTCTGTTTCACTGTGTGCCCTTCATCTTTGGGCTGCCCTGTCATTTAATTTTAATTATGTGATTAAATCATTTCCCAAAAGGACCCGTTCAGTTTGCAACAAACACTGCGATATTATGACATTTAACAAAATAAGGTGATATAAATGGCTTCTTATACTTCTGATGTAAAAGGGATTGCTGATGTCCAAGAAATAATACTTGGAAAATTAAAGCCAGGAGCTGGTGGCTTACACCTAGAATCTTAGCTACTCAGAGGGCTGAGATCTGAAGATTATTATTCGAAGCTAGTACAGGAAGAAAAGTCTGTGAGAATCTTTAATGAAACACCCAAAAAAGCTGGAAGTGGAGTTGTGGCCCAAATGGTAGCTTTGAGCATACACACACAAAAAAATCAGGGATGGCACCCAAGGCCTGAGCTCAAGCCCCTGGACTGGAACACACACACACACAAATTAAATTACATGTCAAACACCTCAAAAAATGGGGAATGTAGTGATAGTTTTAACTGGTTTGTAGCAGACCTCTAATTCCTTTAGTAGGAGAATCTGCTAGCTCTTCTGATACAGCATATGATGCTCAAGACTGAGGAAGATGGTAAGTGGGCTTCTGTTTCACCGATTGGCCTTGAAAAGATGGTTTGCAACAAGTTGCATGATCCAAATCTTTCATCTGGCTTCACATTGATACTATGTGAGTCCCTATCGCACAGAAAGACTCACCTGAATGAAAGGCGCCAGCTCTGTTGTCATCTGCGGTTGATAACCACAGCTCATGTTTACCAAGTGCTTACCATGGTTTAGCTCTTTCCACACATCCTCCTAACAGTTCCTGAGACCCCCATTCTGTGAACCGACACACAGGAGGACTAGCCTGCCCACAGTGAAACCAACAGTCACCAAATGCATGTGGCACTAAAGACAAATGCTAGCCATTGTCTCTCTATTCTTTGTTCCCCTCCCACCGCCCCACCCCATGTTCAAACGTAAAACATAGACTACACAGGGGTGAAGAGCTCTACAGGGAAAGTAATAGCACCTGCTCCTGGTGACCTCCGCCCAGGGCAGAGTGTAAACACTGTGTGTTCATATTTGACTCATTGACTAATAATCCTAAAATCCAGATAGGTAAGGTGACTTCCCAGAAGTTGGCTTGCGGCTGCAGACCTCCGAGCAGCACCTGAGGAGTGTGGAGCCAGCACCGTGCTTGCATGTGCGGTGTCAGGGAAACATGATCCCTTCCTGTACGAGATGGGAAGTGCTGAGAAGAGAGAGTTGTTCACACGGAACACCTTGAGAGGGAAATGCCGCCGCTGCCATTATCAGCACAGCCTCATCACCCACATCAGCATCCTCACCGTCAAAGGCATCATGATACCCACCACGAACAACACTGTCATCAGCACCTTAACTGTCATGATCACCACCATCACCTGATAATTGTCATCACCACAATCGCAGCCATCACATCCACCATCACCATTACTGTGGTCACCCTCCATCTCCGCTTTCATGCCCATCATCATCATTTCTATCATCTTCATCACCATCACCATCATCATTTGTAATCCTCCTTCTTCACCTTCACTTGGAAACAGAATGCATCCTCTCTGTAAAACCCAGCTTTGTCCACGAGGCAGGCCAGGAACAGGAAGATAGACGATAAATGAAGAGATACAGGGTACCCCTGAGGTGAAGCTGTCATCGCAGTTCAGGTTAAAAATAAATGCTATGAGAGTAAGAAGTTAGCACACATGAGCCTTTTAAAAAATTTTTTTTGTCTGTTGTGGGGCTTGAACTCTGGGCTTGGGTGCTGTCACTCAGCTGTTTAGTTCAAGGCTAGCACTCTAACGCTTGAGCCACAGCACCACTTCCGGTTTTCTGGTGGTTTATTGGAGATAGGAGTCTCACGGTCTTTCCTGCCTGCGCTGGCTTTGAACCTTGATCCTCAGATCTCAGCCTCCTGAGTAGCTAGGATGACAGTTGTGAGTCACCGGAGCCCAGCACATGAACCTTCTATGTATAAATCACTCACCTCACTGGAGAATGACTAAGTACTTCACTCAATGCTAGTTACCTTTCTTAATGTGAATAATCATGCAATATTCAAAGGCAGCATCCTTTAGACATTTTTTGGAAGTAGTTTCGGTCAGGAATATCTCAAAGGTAGCACAGAGAATCCTCCAACAGGGTCCTCAGAGCAACTCTAATTCCAACACTGCCATAGCAATTAACGTTGACCCAGTATTGCTGTTAACTACTGGAGATATTCAGTATTCTCTTCTTTTTAAACTGAAGTGCATTTTTTACTACAGTACATGATATTTCTTTTAGGATTGACAATTTTGGCCAGAAAAAAATGAGTGAGCAAAAGTTACGTCCAAAAATTTCTTTCTATTTAATTTAAGTAGTTTGAACTATTTTGATGAGTGTATAGTGGTCTTTCATATCAGAACAGATATTCCCAGAAAACCTCCACATTTGACAACAGCCTGGTAACGGCTTTAGAACTCTGATCAACACTAGACTTTTCCCCTAAAGACTACAATCTAGTGAGACATAGAAACTGGCTGTAAAAATGAGAGCTCATAGGGGAAGAAGGGCTTCTTGAAAGAGTTTGTTGAAAGAACATGGGATCAACTGACCCTGATCCTTGGTGCTCAGCTGTAGCTCTTTGTGTGGACTGAACGCAGTATTCTTTCTCCCCTAGGAGTAGATCTGACTTCACTGCGCCAGATGAAGCTTCAGAGACCACTGAATATGTTAACAGATGTCAAACACTTCCTGTCATCAGGAGGGAATGTTAATGAGAAAAATGATGAGGGAGTGACACTGGTAAGTGGTACATTTTACCCAGATATGGTTTAAATTGATGAAGCAAGTTGATTCTAAAACATACAAGTGGACACAATTACCCATTTATTAATATGCATTTCTGATCCATAAAAGTACTACATACCCATCCTAGAAAACTTGAAAGTCACAGCAACATGTAAAAAATAACATATAACACACTTAGGATATCGCCTCTTTGGCTAGCATTTTGTGGACCTTTGAAGACTCTGGCTCTTGCTCTGAGGGAGGTAAAGAGATACTGATAAGTTCTATAAGAGACACTTCAGATTTCAAAAGATTGCTGTCTGTGTTGTTTGTGTTGAGGATAGGGCCAGGGTGCAGCTCAGAGCTCAGTTTGGCAGCTTTTCCAGGGAGGTCAGTGGCTTTGCTTAGGGTCAGGTGATAGTGAAAGGAACTCAAGGTGTTTCAAGTTAGAAGCCCCCCCCCCCACGGTGGTGTCAGCAGGAGACCCTGTGGGCCGCAGTGGAGCTCCCAATGGGTGTGACATGGGACCTGGAGAAGACTTCAGAGTGTTAAAGCTGACATCAAACAATACAGAGAAGACTGGCAACAGACCATCTTTGGAGAAAGAAATACAGACCTGTATTTGCCATATTGTCTGAGGGTCTCTTAGCTACCCAGTGGAGGGGCTGAGTTAGTGTTGGGACATTGAAATCTGGAAATCTGGAAAGATTTCCCAATGGATGAAAGAATTTGTAGAGTATTAGTATAACATAATATTATAGCCTTACTAGTGGAGGCAGAAGGAGGAAGCAGGATTTAAGACTGAGCCACGGAGATGAGGGAGAAGAAGGGAATCCAAGAAGTGAAATCAGAAGAATAAACATGGACGTAGGAGGAAAGCCAAGAGAATGAGAGGTTCTGAGAGTCAAGAAGGCGGAATGGTGGACTCCAAACACTGCTGAGCACGCCCATAAAGGAGGTGGTGGTGAGTTCTTCATTAGACTCAGAATCTGGGAGCTGGCTGATGTACCCCAGAAGGGATGACCTGGGAAGAATGGAGGGGCTATTTAACTGATTCACTTATTGCAAGTCCTAAAAGAATGCCTGCCATGAACGAAGCAGAATAGAGCCCCTTTAGCTGTTTACTAGAAAATACTTCAGCTTTATGATTTTTTAAATAAGTCATTGCTATGTGGAAAGTAGTATTTATGTTTCAATCTCAGCCAGTTCTTCAGTAGTGAAGCAGTAGAAAGGAATCCACATAGGCCAAGAGGTTGCTATCTTTTGTACCTCCTTCAATGGTGATGTACCTCGTGACTTTGTTCTGATTCAACAGAGAAAATTGCCAGTGATTGTTCTGTCAGGACTAAATCCCATGATGACTGTCTCTGAGCCACTAAACAGAATGTGACAGTACAAACTAGACAAGGAAGTTGCCGTGGCCCCACAGCTCAGTCCTCCATTCCCAGCATCCATGAAGGGCCCACCTATTTGTGCTGGAGTTTCTTTTCTGAAGGGTGTGCTGTGCCTTTCTGTCTATTTTTGGAGACAGGATAACAAAACACTTTTGTTCACAGACTGAGTTGGCAGGTCAATTGTGGTTCAAAATGAGGCATAATTTTTCACATTGCTATACTGTTACGTGAAAGACAGGCTACCCAACAAAAGGCTCTGTGATTCTGCACTTCTAGGAAAGGGGTGTCATGTTGATTCTGTCATATTTATTTGAAGAAGCCACAGAAAAACCAAATGGAGTGTAAGGGTTTTGTAAAAATGTCTTAGTTTTTACTAATATTCTTAAAGATAAACACAAGTTTCGGCAAATATGGGGTTTGTTTTTACAAATACCATCTTCCAAAGCATCTAAAAATAAATTCCTGAGTTTGAGTGTGTAAATTCTCTTTAGAAATATCCCTTCAATAGCTAGTGTATGTATTACTGAGACACTGGTACTCAACTATTTTACCACAGAATTGGGTCTATCAGAGCTCAAATTAAAGATTACAATGTCAGCCCCCTCCCCATAAGCCAGGAGTTATTATTTTATTCCATACTTTCCTTGGCTATCTGGAGTTGACCATAGGTCTCTAGTTAGAACAGTGTTTAAAACATATAGAAATATTGCAGATAATTACAAGGAAAACCAGCTATTAGGAAAGATAGTAGTAGTAAAAGATTCAACTTGTAGGAGTCTAAATTCCATTTCAGACACCAAAACATTTGTCCTTTTTAATGTGGAAGCTTTATATCTTGAGTGGCTTAGCTATTTGTAATTCATATGGTGACTGTCAACTGAAATCAAGATAAAGACTAACTACTAAGGTTTTACAATGATGACCTTTCATAAACATTCTTTTCTCTCTTGTAACAGAGAAAATACATGATTTGGGTTTCATTTGTTGCTGTTCCCGATTTAGCCTTCACTGGACATGAATTTTTCAGCCTCTGTTGGTGTTGCTTGTAGCCAGTGGTCTGGGCAGCCTTTCTAGCAAGAGGCTGGGGCTGGTTTGTGTCTCTGCACACAAACAGGGTACAATTTTCTCTGTTGGATCAGAACAAAGTCATGAGGTATATCACCATTGAAGAAGGTACAAAAGATAGCAACCTCTTGGCCTATGTGGATTCCTTTCTACTGCTTCTCTACTGAAGAACTGGCCGAGATTGAAACATAAATATTACTTTCCACATAGCAATGACTTATTTAAAAATCGTAAAGCAGACAGGGTACATCAAGAGGCTGCAGCTGGTGGGACTTAAGTTTTCCCTGTGAGAATTGTCTCCTCTCCACAGAGGTTGGCCTGTGGCCTTGGTGTCATTAGTGCCCGTGGCTCACCCACTGATAGGCCCACTCTTGATTCAGTCATATAGATTCACTTTCATACTAACACAAAAGACCTCCTGAAACCCAGAGGCTACTGCATTCAGAGGAAGCTACCCATCATGTATTGATTATTTGAATCATGAAGAATAAATTAGAAATGGGTGAAACTTTCATACTCTAGAAGAACAAGTATAATAAAAATATATTTCTAAAAGCCATGTGGACCACTGGATGGAATGCTGTAGATGATTTTGTAGACAGAAATCGATGGGCAGATAGATGGAAAACTTGGCCTCTTAGGATAGGAGCTTTCAGTAGACAAATCATTTCTCATCCAACCAATTGTAAGTATAAGAAATATAGTACTATATATTGCAGATTGAAGAGTGTAAGTATAAAGGTATAAAGGTACAAAAACAAATTTTCCCTGAGTTCCACCAATAAGTATATTTAATGAGCTTTTGTTTTAATTTTATTGAACTTTGGTCTTTGTACAGAAGAAAATGCTATGGAGTCATTTCTACCAGTCCTAGAAGGTGGTATACATGTCACTAAATTTAACTTATTATTTTTTCCGAACTTGATAGTTTCTTTTATATTATGTTTGTGGAGTAAAATCAGAGGATTGCTTAGGAACCTTATTTAAGTCAAGTATAATTATAGTTTGCTGAGAAAGGCTGATGCCTTCAAAATGAAATTTACCCATCTGAAAATGTTAAAAATTCTCCAAATCCCAATCTCATTATAGATCCCGAGGCTTCATTTCTAAACTTCAAATTCCATTAAGAACCTAAACTGAGAGAAGGTTGAAAAAGCAGCTACAGAACTGTCATAAAGCCTGCCAAGATTCACTGACCCCTTCCAGAGCCTTTCTCAGGTTCCCGTCTGATTCTGAACCCCAGCTCCTGTACTCAGGGCAGTACTGGTATACCAGAGCCAGAATGCAGCCTTCCCCCTGTGAGCAAGAAGCAGGGAGCTATGGAATTAGTGCATTCTTCATGTTCAGATCCTCAGATCACAGCCAAAAGGAGCTCTGGGAGGGATACATTGGATACATGCCTACTGCAAAGAAGGAAAATAATAATAAATAATTTACATTGATCAACAATTGAGAGTATGAATTTCAAAGAATGTGATGACACCTACAGAGAACAAATAATAAGTGTGTGTTCTTTGTCTAGCTCTCTGAACCACAGATCCAATATTTTATTAAAGCACTTTCTTTAAATGGTGGATTAAAGTGTTACTAATGTCCCTAGTGTTTTATGTTGGGTAACAAAATGTCTTCTCATCGCAGCTCCACATGGCATGTACAAGCGGCTACCAGGAAGTGGTGTCCCTTATTCTGGAACATGGAGGTGACCTCAACACAGCAGACAATCAGTACTGGACCCCTTTGCACTTGGCAGCCAAGTACGGCCAGGTAAAGTAAAGCTGGCCATGCAGCAGCCTGGGAGGCAGAGCTGGGAGCGGCCCAGGCCATGCCAGCTCTGGCTGCATGAGTACAATAATGCTGCTCTCAGGAGGGCTTTCTAGAATGCCTGATCCTCAGCCGCTTTCCTGCCCTGTGAAGACACAGGTCTCCTCCCCTCAGAGTGCACAGGGGTGACAGTCATGGTTCCTAGTGTTTGTACCAGGCCAGGACATCATCTGAAGCAGAGACTGTAAGCTCCGACCCACCATGCAACCCCCAGAATACATCCTGGCTAATGAGAAGCTGCTCACGCGTGGGTATGCCATCATTGCCCAATGTAGAAGAAGCAGTACAAGGAGGAACGAAATGTTTTCTGAGGGAAATCCGAAGAGGAGTGGAGGGGAGCAAAAAGAACAGGGTGGCTGCAAGAGATAACAGAGGCAGAAATGCAGAGAGTTCTGTGAAATACTGGAGGAGAAGGAAGCATTCTTTCTATAAGATTCAGGTAGAAACAGTCCATAGTAGACTCATGCATAAACAGCAATAATTTATTAGACAGCTTTATGCCTTGGGTGGGAAATGCAACCCATGGTTCTCGGGCTTGGGACATTTACCATTACAGTGTAGAGTGTGTACAGGTGAGCAAGGAGGTACAAATTATGAGCACCTGAGGGCTTTACACATTGTAATGTCCTTTTAATAATAAATCTACCAGTCAAGGTATTGATTTTGGACATTTTAATCAAATGGAAAAATGACTTTCAAAAATAACTAGAGCCTGTAGTATAAAATTAAAGTTCAGCAATTCACTGTTTCCTTTTATATGTCCATATATCTGAGCTTGCAGACACATGGACACACACACAGGCACATGTACATACACACACACACACACACACACACACTCACAGGGTGCTACACTCTTTGGGGGCTGGCAGCTAGCTTCCCTCGCAAGTTCTCACAGGAGAGATGAGTCTCTGGGCTGAGTCGCTGGGCGGCCCGATCTGAGGCGCTTTCCCCATGGGTCTTGGGTGCAAGTACAGGGGGAGTTCCAGAGTAGACCTCAGTGCTGGCCTGCTTGCTGACTTCTGATTGGAAACGCATGGGAAATGGCCTCTGTGTAGTCAGAAAGGAATTCCCCCGTCGGAAGACACTTCCTTGTTTTACTCATAAGTGTTCACTTTCCTGAGCATGAGATTACTTTCATTGTTGGAGGTTTTTGTGTAGAAAACAGTTTGCTTTTATCACCTAAAGACTGCTGCGCTGGAGATTAAATCTAAACATGAACTTTGGAGGGGACGTGAGCATTCAGACCACAGTCACGACGCATAGGGCGGTATCAAAAATAAGAAAACCTTAACAGAATAGCAGAACCCTCTGGACAATCATAATTTAAGAAACTGACTGAAGACCATAAAGAAAGCTAGACAAGCCTTCCATAACCCAAGCCCCCTCCCTGGTTAAGCCACAGCCAGCTGTCTTTTGCACCAGGATTCTGGCAGCGTGTGACTGCCCTGCCCTACAGTTAGTGGATGTGAGCAACAACGACTCTTGTTCAGAGGGGAACACACAGAGCAATCACTAGGAAGCATGTCACTTTGGGTGATGGGCGCTGATCACTGGTGACAACTCTACCTTTAACCCTACACACTAAGTCCCAAGTACGTGCGTCCTCTGTGACCACCAGGGGGCAGAAGCAAGAAAATCCACTCTGAGAACAGTGCCGAGATAAATACTCCAAGCCACTTCCAGATCCACTGCTAGAAAGGTATACAGAGATGTACTTGTACAGTGCAGTTTTATGTAGCCAAAAAACCAAAGTGTCAATTGAAATAAACCCAACATCTTAGACAATTCTCAAAAATTCCCTGGGGAAACAAGAGAACAAGACATGGAAAAATATGTACATCAGGACTTCATTTCCATAACTGTCATGAATAGGCTAAGCAGCATGGTGCTTAAAGATGCTTTGTACGTATTTTCTAACATATCAATACTGAATCCAAATTCTGTGATAGTGCTCACCTCTTGAAGAAAAAATGCACAAAAATACTATTAATGACATATTTTTAAATGTTAGAGCACTGACATTTAATTACTACTTTCCTGTGTTATGTTTTAATTTTTGCTCTGTGATTGTTTTAAGTTATTTTATGTATACATTTTGCATGTATACAAATGATGTATGTATAGATTTTACATGCATACAAATGACGTATGTATGCATTCAGTAAGTAACCATGCAAAACACAATCATTGCTCTGTAATGTTTCCATTACAGATACTTTGCATGAATGATGTACTTAATTCCCATCAGTTCTTCGCAGTCAGGACATGAGAGTGTGCTCTCCTAGTCATGCAGTGTAATCTTAGGTTTATAATAGTACCTTCAGGGTCATTATGGATGGATGGATGATAGCAACAGCTAGACTTTGCTCATGCAAGATAATTGCTGAAGTAACACAAAAACAAAACATGGTGTGACATATAATTATATAAAGTGGCCTAAAAGAAAAGGGAATATAAAGTATCTTTTTCATGTCCTCAGCCCTCTGGCCCACGTGGAGAACTGGATTTTGTTCTGATGTATGGGTCGCAGATGTGGTCTGACTACTGACGTGCTCTGAGGGGCAACTTTGATTATCCTTTTTTTTTTAAATTGTGAAAATACTGTACAGAGGAGTTACAATTACATGGGCAAAATAATGAGTACATTTCTTATCAAGCATTGTAGCCTCCTCCTTTGTTTCCCTTCCCCATCCCTTCCCACCCTCCCCTCGCCCCCCACTCAATCCTCCTCCCCCTGCCACCAAAGTTGTAAAGTTTGTTTTTCCACATGACTAACTTTGATTATCTTTATGTTGCAGACACACCTAGTGAAACTGCTCCTGCTGCACCATGCCAACCCCTGCCTCGTGAACTGTAATGAGGAGAAGCCTTCAGGTAGGTGGTGGTGCGCTGAGAGTTCCGGAAAGTCCCATTTTCTTCCTTCCCTTGAACAGGTTCCTCTGTCATTAGCACAGCTAGGAAATGTGAGCTTGACTCTCCTGGGCAGATGTGAAAATGGCTGCCATTCCGGCATGACCTATAATCTCCCCAGTGTGCCCGCAGGAGGCCAGGGCACAGGGGACTTCCTTTTGTTTTTCCTGAGTTGATCTTCCAGAGTAATTGACTCATTCAACACCACTCACTTCACAGTGTGTTTTGATAGTTATTTGGCTGGGTTAGGGTATTCACATATACATTAGGATATTTAAAAGAAATATAGTATTTTCTGCACAGGAATTTAGACTGAAGAAATTGGAACGATCAGTGTCATGCTAATTTTAGATTGAATTCTTAATTTAATGTCACTAATTTCTGGTAATAATCTTTTAAAGACTTCTATAATTCTTTTTATCATCATGGTTTTCTCTTTTCTCATAAGGAATAAATAACATGTTCATTTGTAGCTTTCAAAATGAGTTACTACTAGTAGTTAATTCCATGATATTTAAAGTGGAAGAATTCTAAATAACAGAAAAAAGTCTAGTCTACATAATATAATTTTCACAGTAGCCACTGATCTTAACAATGAAACAAATTTATTTCTTTTTCTGCTTGCAAAAGCCCTTCATACCTTGCACTTACTTGATTATTTCTAGGGATAGATTATCTGACAAAGTTCCAACGTAAGCCATAAAAAAGTTTGCTAAGAATGAAATGACAATTATTTTTCAAGTTCAGCTTCAACATGAAGATTCACCTTGAATCTCTCATTTTATACATTATCATCCAGTAAAAATTGTCTTCATGTATTTTTATTTGTAATTAAATAGGCATGATAGCATTCATGCGTGTATGTATGCACTAAGGGGCTTGAACTCAGGGCCTGGGAGCTGTCCCTGAGCTTTTTTGCTCAAGGTAAGTACTCTGCCACTTGAACCACAACTCTACTTCCAGCTTTTTGATGGTTAATTGGAGGTAAGAGTTCTGGCCAGGCTGGCTTTGAACTATAATTCTCAGATCTCAGCCTCCTATATAGCTAGAATCACAGAAGTGAGCCACTGGTGCCCTGGGACAAGATAGTCTTCAAACACTAGTGCTGTAGTCTTATCCCTCCCTTGATGGTGTTTTCTTGGCTTGTGTTTTTTAACTGCTGAAAAACTTATATCGTTTAATCCTATCTGAATTATTGAGAGTAATAAAGTGCGACTATCATCGCAGACTTTGTCTGGCTGTCTTATTGTTTCCTGTAGACATTGCTGCCTCTGCGTTTATTGAGAAGATGCTTCTGAAAGCTGAAATGGCCTGGGAGGGAAAAATGCAAGAACCACTCCCTCAGGGATCTCTGCCTGGCCCAATCTTCACAGAAGAGGAGGCCTTCGAGGAGGAGGGACAGGAGGTTCCAGCCCTCTCTAGTAAGCTGTAAGTGTCTTCATCCAGCAGGGCATAGCGGTTAGATGATGAGCATATATGTACTCATGAGTATATATGATGACTGTATATATCCATATATCATAATATATGGTGAGTGTATAAACATGTGTGTGTATATATATCATATTTATATATATCATAATATAGGATGAGTGTGTATATACATATCAGTATTTATGACCTCCCCATGAACAGGTATAGGGCACTGCTCAGGGAGCGGTCAGGGAGCGGTCAGTTACTTTTATCCCCACCTGTCCTGGTTATTAGACATTGCATCATCCATAATGAAGCCATCTCTCAACTAGAAACTGTTATAAACATTGAAATTGTTGATCAACACACTTACACACGCAGTCCTTGACAATGAGCTTGGCACAGCTGGTGAAATCTTCTGGCATGTTAAAACACCACTACACGAGTACCATGAGACTAAAGGTCCGATTTTACACACTCCCCTGGAGTTCAGCTAATCTAATGATGAGGGGTCTGAGCACTGTTCTACTGGCAGGCTGTGCTAAAGTAGGAAGAGCACAGAATACACTCATGAAAGTAACGATTTGTTGATTCTGAAATGCCTCCTAAAAGGGGGACTTCCTGTTGTTAAAAGCATGAGATGGAAATTGCCTCCCTATTCCAAGTCTGAAAAAGTGTAGATGTGGTAAGAATGACTGTGATAATTTACCATCCAATCCATGTCCATTGGAGCCATGAAGCAAGAATGGATTCTCCCTTCTTCATCAGAATAGACTACCTGTATACAGTGTGGATATGTACACACACTCAGAGCACACGTAATTTACATATCACATGCACAGAAAGAATGTCTGTGACAGTTAAATCCCAAGGGAAAGAAAGTTGGTTCACAGCTGGCAGGATAAGAGAGCGGGGCTATTTTGAGGACAATGTAAATGATCGGAATGAGATAGTTGTGATAGGTAAAGAAATATTAAAATGGAAACAAAATTAAAGTTTGGATTCAAACCAAATTACTTTACAATAAGTTATGTGAGATAAATATGTATCTCTGTGGGTGTTTGTAGTTTTGTGTTGGGTTTCTACTATGTGTGAAAGATCAAATAAACCCAAACAACCAACCTTCCCAGCCCTATTGACTTTTTTATTAATGGCTGAAAACAAATTAATCCTCTTATAAAAGAACTGATCGATGATGTATCTGTTCTACACAATTAAGTACACGTTTAATTACATTTTCTTCCTGTTGCCTTCACTGTGAGAAAAGGGCAAGTAGATCTGACTGGTTTAAGCACTCTTAAATTTTTCTTTCATAACTCTCAGCTTTGGTGTATTTTATCTTGGCTATTTCCATTGTCATTACAATATTATAAGTAAACAAAACTAGGAGCGTACATGCATTGTGAACAAACAACTAGAATAGTTGATGTTTTCATGTAGAGAAGTTGAATTTCTGTATGTTCCTCCTGACTTTATTCTGTAGGAGAAGGAGAAATATAAAAGCTCAGAGATTTCACTGTAAGCAGCACAAGTGTTTTTAAGAAACAAAAAAAAAATGGTGCTTGTTGATTCCATAGGATTATGTGTATTTAATAGGACAATGGTGGTTGATTTGGACAAATTTCAGAAACTTGAGACATTTTCTTTATGAAACAAACCAGCGAATTCACATAATTACAGGAAATACATCTGCATCTACTGTGGCTCAGCCTGCGTTAGGGAAGGGTGCAGTATGGGGCTTCTTCCTTTAGCATTGTATTGGAAACTTCTGGAAATTTCCATTCCACCTGCTCCCTGAGTTAAGGTGAACAGAGGCTGTGGCGATCCAGGTCTTACTGGCTGAAAGCAAGTGCTTTTTGAATGCTTTGATCACCAGCATTTAAAATATGCAGCCTGGCCTTCTGCCTGTGCACAGAAATCCTTCGGCTTTACACAGGTGCCCAAGAAAGGAAACCGAAGGAGAAGAAGCAGAGACCGCAAATTAGAGTCGTTCTGCAATAGCTCGGCATTCCTTCAGGTCTCATTTTTGCCCAGTAAAGAATAGTGCGTATTTATTGATAAGGAATGCATACAATTAGAAAAAAATAGTACTTGAAAACCAACCTGTGTGGCCTTTTCTACAGAAAGAGTTTGTGTGACTTTTATTTCCTGGATTTTTAGAAACAGCATGTATAGGCACTTTATTTTTTTCACCATATTTTCTTTTTTATTGTAAAAATACTGTACAGAGGGGTTACACTTACATGAGTAAGGTAATGAGTACATTTCCTATTGAGCTTTGTTAACTCCTCTTTTATTTTTCCCCTACCATCCCTTCCTTCCCCCTCCACCCCACATTGTAAAGTTTGTTTTCAACATAGTGTCCTGTACATTTCATTGTCACAGTGGGTCAACCTGCATCCCCACTTAAGCATTCCATTATATCCCTTCACCTCCCCAAATTACAAATGTATAAACAAGATGCAGAACATCAGAATCAAATACAATGAAAACGGGTTATACTGTGGGGGAAGAACATACAAAAGAAACAAAAGAAACAAAAGAATCACAGAATGAATTGTAAGTACATTAAAAACAAAGCAAGAAAGGAAAAGCCACATGTGTCCCTGTCTTGGGGTACATGTGTCCCTGTCTTGGGGTACATTTTGCTTAACATCATCTCATATGGTAATATATACAGAGCTTTTCACCTTCTCTGCCTGTCCCTTGCAAACAAGGGAAACCATGGGACCTATGTATCTTTGGGCCTGTATAGCACTTTAAAGGGTCTGTGCATTTTGGAGAAAGTTCAGATTCTTGCTCTTCAATGTGCGGCCTGGGTTTCAGCATCATTTTCTCACGAGGGAGTTTGAGAGGCCTGCAGGACCTCTAGCCCCACCAGGCCTGGGCCAGAGAGCGTATTTCCACCCAGTTACTTGGGGAGGTGAAGTTACCATTGTAAGGTGAAGAAGGCATCATGTCTCTATGTTAACTGCAGTATGCTCTTTATCTCCAGCCCTCACCCCAGCTCCACATGAGTGAGCATCACCTGCCTGCTTCCCTTAGCAGAAGCCCCACCTGCCCATTCTTCTGACTTATAAACTTGCTGTGCTTCTTTTTCAATGTCTCAAAGTGTATTTGGCTAAAAACGTCAAGAAATAGGAGTTAACTCAGAACACAAGTTGGATTTCCTTCCTGTTGTAACTCTTCTCATTATTAATTACAATTTTATTATCCTTAAGTCGTTGTACAAAGGGGTTTCCATTCACCATGGGGTTTTGGTTCCCTTTGTGGGGTGGTGACAGTGTCTGACTATATAGCCTAGGCTGGTATCAAACCGTTAATCTCCCCTCCTCAACCTCACAAGGGCTGGGATTTCAGGCATGAACTACCGTGTTCAACTTCAACTGTAACTCTTATTCATTGTCATGTAACGTGCACTAAATCATGATTTAGTAATGATAAAAATTATTACTTTTACAGTGCTCTACTTTCAGAAGCAATTGCTGGTCTTTAAATGTCTGAGTGGGAAACTCCTGTTATTAGGAGAGCCCAGATAGTGAATTCTCACTGATCTCTTTGAACCGGTTGCCACTCTGAAGGTCTCTGTGCATTGCATGGCTAACCATGTGCAGGTTGGTTTTAAGCCCATAGGTCCTATTCTGCCTTTATAAAACACAGCGATCCCCATGCTTACTGGTGCTTTCCCGCCTCCTCCTTCCCTCCCTCCCTTCTGAGGCCCCTCTCTTATATTGCTGGTGCGTCCTCCAGTGCCCAATCCAGGATTACTCGCCCAGGGATTTTCACCACTGAAAGTGCTAATTTTGTCACTAGTCTTCCATTTTCACCGTCCTAGGGATAGAACCCACACAAATTCTGTGTCACACCTTAGCTGGAAGGTGCAAACAATATCGTGGTCATTTACTTAATGACAGTAACAGTGTTCCCAGCTATGGTTTATTTTGAAAGTTACATTATTTTTGAACATGGGCTACATGCTTTATGTAGATAATTTAAAATTCAAAAATACCATATTTTTTTTGTCAGTCATGGAACCTAAACTCTAGGACTGGGAGCTGTCCCTCAGCTCTTCAGCACAAGGCTAGCACTCTACCACTTGAGCCACAGCACCACTTCTGGCTTTTTCTGCTTATGTGGAACTGAGGAATTGAACCCAGGGCCTCATGCATGTGAGGCAAGCACTCTACCACTAAGCCACCTTCCCAGCCCCCCCAAAATACCATTTAAAATTATGTTCTACTACTGTGCTGGTTTTTCAGATACCTACCAGGCTTGGGGCATCAGCAAATTGATTCACGCCATGCACTTCTTCAGCCTGACACCGTGTAGTGGGAAGGTCATTGGTATTTGCAGTTCTAAGACTTTGACATTGGTTTTAAAGAAGAAAATGACCTGAGTTCACTGCTTGGTCAATTTTCAGTGTGACTTTGTCATCTGAATGGCCTATTTGGGTTCAGCTACTTGACAATAAGTAGTTAGTAGGATAAGTTGAGAAGATGATAATCTAGAAGTTTCCCTGTGACAGAAATCCCGAGGCAGTTAACATAGTGCTGCAAAGCTGCTTATGAGCTACCACTGTAACTGTAAGTGGAACCACAGGGAGCAGTGGGTTTCTGTCTCCCAAGCACCTCCTGGTCATGTGATCTGTGAGTGGGAGTCACGTGCCACTGTGACCGTGGACAGACTTCAGATCCCCCAGATACCTGCTCACAGCCTGGGTCTGACACTCCCAACCTTGTGAACAACTTAGTTGACTTAATTGTGACATTGTCACTCACATGAACAGTCTAAGTGTTGTATTATAAACAATGGAGCTGGCTTTTGAACCTGATTCCTGGGACTGTCTTGGGTTTAGATTCTTAGAATTCAAGCCAGGTACTCATGGCTCACATCTCTAATCCTAGCTACAGAAGAGACTGAAATTTAGAGACTCAAGGCTCAAAGCTAGCCCAGGCAGGAAAGTCCTTGAGAGTCTATATCTAGAACAGCTGGCAAAAATATCAGGCTGGAGAATGGCTCAAATGGTAGAGAGCTCTGCTACCAAATAAACAAATCCCTAGAATTCCCCGCTGTGATCAGAGGGTATTTGTCACTACTGAGCTCTCTGATCACACCCGTTGTGTGTTAAGGAGATGAGATGATTGTGTTCAGGGTGATGAAAGTGTGAGGCCTTCGGGCTGATCCAACCTCCAGGAAGGAGAGGAGGCTAGATGTTGAGTTGGAACACAAGGCCCGTGATGGAATCACTCCCACCTCTGCTATGAAATCCCAATTAAACAAAAATAAACTATGACCACAGAGCTAACTGGGCTCTTGTGGCTGGTGAGTGTAACATGCCTACAGTGTGATATGTGTCAATTCTACAGGGAGAAGGTGTGGAGTTCTGCCACGGGGACCATAGGCCTTTCCCTCTGTGTGTGTGTGTGTGTGTGTGTGTGTGTGTGTGTGTGTGTGTGTGTGTGTTTGGTTATACTGGATTGTAGAGAATAAAGTTGTGAGGGTAAGCCTGTACCCTAGTGAGTCTTATAGGATAAGTGTAGTAAATTATCAAAACTGTCAGGAATTGAAAAATCCTTGTTGATCAGAAGTATAGGTGCCTGGAGACCCCCATAATATAGCTGGAGTCTGAAGTAGAGATAGACCTGTTCAGAACTTGATCCATATCTCCTGGGATTTATGCAATGCTGAGTGGTCAGCTCTGGACTTGTATGCAGTTCAGCAGTGAGTGTTCATCGTCATCATCGTCTTAACTATCATTACCATTATCATCTTCAACATCATCATCATCATTTTCATCTTCATTATCATCTTTACCATGACAAGAGTGTTCCCGTGTTGTATTGATGAGTAGCTAAAAATTATTGATGACATATTTACTATCTGCCTCATTCTCAGGTCTGCATAAGCAGCACTGAGGAATGATTGGGAAACAAATTCCTTCATCTATGTATTACGACTAGGTCTGAATCAAAAGCCAGACACAGAATTAAGCCTTTTCCTTAGGCCTCTGAGAAGGAATGCCGGCATCTGTGAAGGGAGGCTGCTTGGGCTGTGAGGCTCCTGGAGTCATGCTGGGCAGCTCACCCATACTCCTGAGTCCCCGGTGCAAGGCTGGAGTGGAGACTGCCCGGCAGGGAGTGGGCAGGTGGGGAGGAGCAGAGCTCCACAGGACTGAGGGCTGCAGGGGAGGCCAGGTGGGCTGGCCCGGATCCCAGGGTGAGAAGAAACAGCAGTGGGGATTGTGGGGAGGGGAGCGGACTGAGTCCTACAGTGAGTTCTTCCTGACCTCCGTCAGAGCTCAGAGCACCCATCTGACTGACACTGCATTTGTGGACGCTCTCCAAGCACTCTGCTTCCTGAGGCCGCTCACCTGGGATCTGTTCACCCAGCTGGGGCTCTGCCAGGGTCTATTCTGAAGACTGCTGCTCGTCTGAAGATAAGGAATTTGCACGTCCAAAAGAACTAACATTTGTCTGATTGAACTTCAGTCAAATGCCCCCGACACAGCATGGACTGGCAATTCTTCACGTGTGGTGTGTGGAGACTCGGGACTCCAGCCATAGGACCTCGGGACCCCACTGCACTCATTCTCTGCTCAGGAAGGGCCCTAGGCATCACTCCTGGCTCACAGTGTGCAGTGCTGCTGGGGACAGTCTTCACCAGTGCCAGGCAATGGAGAGAGGCTTGAGAGGCCTGGACTCCATACACTGGCTCTGTCATTCGGGCAGTGACAAGACATCAGCAGAACTGAAAAGTATCTTTGCCCTCTGACCCCATGTTCATGGTGGCTGCCACCCAGGCCATTGCACCTGCTGGAAAAACTTGTTCTTTACATGCACTGAGAACCTTCAGAGCCAGCCCAGCCATAGTCAACCTTCTAGAACAGGAGGGCACTTTGGATAAGCCCGAGGACATGCACAGCCCTGATTAGAGGGCAACACTAAGCCCTGTGTTTGCTAGGCAGGTGCTCCACCACTTGAGTCAAGCCTCTAGCTCTAAACCAGCCAATTGTAGAGATGTGAGAAGATCTGTTCAGGGCATCCCAATGAGCATCTGAATGACTGAGCAGAGATACTGCACCTTCCCCTGCCTGTTATTGTTACTCTTGACAAATGCACCTCGATGTAGTTAATTTTCCATCATCTCTACAGTGCTCTGAAATGGCTCCAGTTATAATGGGTGGTAACTGCTGCTTTCGTGATGCCTGTTGCCATTCTCAGAAATAAACTACTTCTTCCTACAAGCATACTTGCTCTGCATGAAATGCCCTTTATGTTTATTGAAATTAGGAGATCTTGACTGAATCCAGAAGAGTTTATAAACGGATTATCCACTGGTTTATTCCCATCTGAATTTTCTTCCACAGTGAGAGTTAAAGCTCTCCAATGCACCAACTGGAGCTACGTTTTACAACATAGAACGATTTCAGTTTCCTGTTTGTGGAGCGTACCTCTGGAAAGCTTCTCTTAGAAAATATACTGTTCTAATCCTGTAGTTGGCTCTTTCTCATTCATCAATCTGTGTCTAAGAAGTTCTTTTGTATGATCAAAGTAAGACTTGGTTGTTAAAGATAATTCAGATAATTGAAAGTATACAGAGGTGTGAAACAAAATCGCTGTCAGACTCGAAGTCCAACTGCATGTGGGAAGTTCCTCAGGCTGGCAGGCCGCATGAGGATTGCTGCCATGGAGGATGGGTTGGGTTCAATCTGCCAAGGCTGGGGTAGGGTTATGGAGGGCGGGTGGAGGGTGGTGGAGGCCTGTGGGACCCAGGGAGGAGGAGACTGCTCCACAATTTGGCCAAGTGTGTTTGCTTTTGCTTCTTTCCTGTACTGAACACCATGGCGACCTGCAGGGGAAGGGAAAGAAACTGGATGATATGGAAGTCACTGGTATGAGAGACACATCTACAAAAGGTCAACTTTTCTGTATGGTAATTAGACCGCCATGAACTTGAAATTGAAAAGAGGCCAACAACTGCACTCTGAATTCTAGGTAGAGTTGTAATTGAGTATATGAAGCAATTATATATTTGAAATAATGTATAAATAATAATATTTATAAAATTCAATAAATACAATATAAATGAATACTATATCTGTTATAAATATAAAATATTTATATATAATATATTACATATTTATAAATAATATCTTTGAAATAACTATATATGAAATAACTACATATAAAACTACTATTTAAAAAGATATATTTTGAAATCTTACAGTAAAATGTTACAACACAAATTTATAATGTATTTGGTTCTTTTGAACATTACAAAAAAAAGGACTTTTTGACAGTGACATTGATATAAAAACTCTATAGTAGCTTTTATGTAGTTATTTTGGCTCTGTTTGAATTCCCTTATTAATATTTGATACAGCCACAACACATTGCCCATGATTTCATATTTAATGCCTAAGTCAATTATATTTTAATTGATTTCTTGATTGCTCTTTTCTTCATTTGTTTGAGATCCGCTTTCATATCTAACTATCTTGCTTAGTTCAGTCAGGAATTTCAGACTTAGCTTTTAAATTGCTTAGTGATTTGCATATTACAGTTAAATGTGCCTCCATAAGCATTTTCTCTGAGAGTTGCCTTTATAATTTTTTTCTTAGATGTGAAATTAATGGACAGTTTTTAGACTTCCCGTTGATTTCCCTGCAACTCACAAACACTGCTTCCTCTCAGGCTGAAGCACTTTCTCAAGTCCAGCTCTCCTGTGGCTTTTGATTGACAGGGCCAGGGCAGAAGAAAACTAATTACAGTATTCATTGTTTCCTGTAGCAATCCCCTGGTGCTACCAATCGCCAAGCAAGACAGCTTGTTGGAAAAAGACACGATGTTCAAAGACACCGCCAAAGGTGCGTGCAAGCAGCAGACAGAGGACAGCAGCCCCGAGCACTCCTGCTTGAACAGTTCCAACAGACCTGAGCAGGTGTGTATCACTGGCAGCAGTGCACTGGTGTGCATCCCCACAAGCCACTTTGTATAACCAAGTGTGGGTCACAAGAAAGCCTCATCAACATGGAAGCTCCTATTTCATTAGCACTTTGTGCTCATTGTCAGCAAACGTCAGTGCTATTTTGTTTGATAACCATGTGAATTTTATAGTCTTGTCCCCTTTATCAGGTAAGCTTAGCCACTGCCCTACTTCTTGCATATTTCCAGCTTTTGATTACTTTGTGGTTTCCTGCCCCAACACTTCAAATACATGTAAGGAGGATGCAGCCTTCAAGTGAGGTATCACCAGGAGGGTTTGTGCCCCACAGTGCACCCTCACCAATCCCAGCACCCAACTGATGAAGGTCCCTTTTGAACTGAGACAATAATGTGCTTGGGATTTCACAAATTAACTGATTCTTTGCATTACCATAGAAATAAGTCACTTGGTGTCTATGTAAACAAAGCTAAGTACCCTCATTACACCTCACCCATCCACCCTGCAGTCAGGGAAGTGTGTGGAGGGTTGGCGATTGGCACCAGGACCCTGGCTGGCTTCCACTCACCATACTCAGAGCCTGCACCCTATAATCCTCATGCCCAGTCTCACATGGATTTAATTCTCACAGCCACTGACAGATACTCACCACTGTTCATCACAATTCCATACAGAAAGGAAAGTGGCTTCGTTCTATAAGGTAGAAGAACATCCAGAACCTCACAGATGGGGGATGCACACACAGGGCTGCACTGCTGCTCAAATTTGTTTCTTCAAGTGGAGAGGAGTAAGCCAGTATGGGGGATGTTCGTGGCATCAGCAGATTCCCTGGTGGAGGAAGCTGCAGGTATTTTGCAGAGGGCTGGCACAAAACGCCCATCACGCTGCCCCTTTTCCCCTCCCTGAGATCTGATCCCCCGCTGGCTCTCCTACCAGTCCCACAACAGCACTAAACACTCACATTAAGAAGCTAATCCCATAGCTGGGCACCAGTGGCTCACGCCCATCATCCTAGCTACTGAGGAGGCTGAGATCTGAGGATAGCAGTTCAAAGCCAGACCAGGCTGTGAGACTCTTATCTCCAATTAACCACCAGAAAACCCAGCAATGACGCTGTGGCTCAAGTGGTAGGGCACTTGCTGTGAGCTGATGAACTGAGGGACAGCACCCAGGCCCAGAGTTCAAGCCCCACAACCAAAAACAAAGCTAATTTCATGTAACTCCAAAATTAACTATTTATTTTGTTTTGGTTAACATTTACTCAAAAAATACTAGGAAAGCTGGGTCATACTCACTCCTAGTTTTTTTTAGTCTTTAAAATACCAAGAGAGGGGTATGGCTCTTGACTATTCAAGTAGTTATTTCTGACAGAGCCTTAAAAGTATGTGTCTAGCTCAAGGTCAAATTATGACCATTTAGTAACTTTGTGGGGATTATGTGAAAGGCAACTTGAGAATTTTTTTCTCTTAAATGCTGTGAAAGTCTAGAAAAATAATCAGTGCTTGGGGTGGAGCTCACTGTGGATGGTGTGAGGTCGATTTTCCAAAATCATTTTCTAAATACATGAGTTATGATTAGAATATGGTACTTCATTTTGGAAATGGCATTTCTACAGTTTCTAGGAACCTGTGAAGCTATTTCTAAATAGAACAGAAAACAAAATGCCCTTCTGAGCCGTGGAGATGCTGGGATGGAACTGTGTTTCTATCATTAATGCATCGGGGTCAGTCAGAGCCTGCAAGCACTGTGGACAGACTCTGTGAAGGCACTGGGAAGATTGCATGTGTGCATGTGTGCAATATTCACAGTCCTAAATTTAAAATTTTCAATATTTTTTACCCTCCAAACATTTAACAGAACTATAAGTAAATATTAAAATATAAAATATAAGTAAAATATATGGTATAAATAAAAATATAAATATACTTAGCTATTATACATGTATGTAATACATATTACATATAATATAAATATGTATAAGATGCAAAAGCAAGAATAAAGTACAAGTATAAGCATGGAGAGCACACATAAACACAAATTATACAGACAAATCAGTTGTTTTTAAACTTCTGCTATGGATATCCATGAACTCATGCACATTCATAAGACTTGAAATTTTTTCTGTTTCTGCATTATATGTTTTTTTAAAAAAGAAAAAGAAGGGCTGTGAAGGTGGCTCAGTGGTAGAGTGCTTGCCTTGCATGCTCAAGGCCCTGGGTTCAATTCCTCAGCACCACATAAGCAAAAAGAAAAAAGCCGGAAGTGGCGCTGTGGCTCAAGTGGTAGAGCACTAGCCTTGAGCTGAAGAGCTGAGGGACAGAGCCCAGGCCCAGAGTTCAGGCCCCACGACCGGACCCAAAAAAAAAAAGAAAAAGAAAAGGAAAAACATGGGTGCCATAGTCTATCTAATCTCTGCTTCTCAGAACATGTATTAAGCCCATAAAATTAAGGCATTGTTCATTTCCAATTTAGAAATGATAGATTTCTCTCTAATTAAAAGACCTAAATTCATCTGTCTTTCCTCGGAACATTGCTCAGTTTTTAAAACCCTGTCATTCTGTGTTAAATGGAAAAAGAATGCATTTTCTCTTTGTGGCAGAATCTCACAGCTGCCTTAGTCTGAAGAGAAATACAGAACATAATGGAAATCACAAGCCAGAAGTCAAGACTGTGCAAACCATTGCTTTTATATAACACCTGTGATAGGAGTGGACCTTAGGTTTGGGAACATACCTTATAATCAAGTTTGTCAGCTCTCTGTTTCTCTACATTACGGGTGGGGAAAAGGGAGAGTCAATGTGTTCACATGACCTTCCATGCACAAGGTATTGTGCAAGGGGTGTGCATTTGCACACTTGTGAGTATAAAACACGGATCTTATCTGCACCCATTTTTTCCTATGGCTTTGAATACATATTTTTCCTTTTCATTGAACCACATCTTTTTAAATAACAGTTTTAAATGCATGTAGCCTTCACGCATTTGACAGGTCATTGAAATGGAGCAGTCAGCTGTGGAGGCTGATTGGAAGACCATTAGAATTGATCAGACTTATCCTCTGCCCCGTCAGGTGCAGCTCATGCCTCCCGCTCCAAACGATGACCTAGCCACGCTCAGCCAGCTCACTGACAGCAGCCTGCTCTACGAGATCCAGAAGCGCTTTGCGAACAATCAGGTCTACGTGAGTGCTCTGCCCAACCCGCCTCCCGTGTGGCCCAGTCTTGCTAGTAGTGTTGCCTCCCTCCCGTGTGGCAAATAGTGCAAGTGGTATGTGCATAGGGCCATCTGGCTGTGCGGATGGCTGAGCTTGAATGTCTCGGAGTCCAGGTTCAGTCAAAAGGCAATTCAACGAATCCTACCTTTTACAGCTAAGTATTAAACCAATACTACACATGTGGACACAGGTACTCAGGGCAGTTAGGTTTTCCCGTGATTGCCATTTCCACTGGCTGCCATTGCTAGAACAGGCAGGGTCTGAACATCACCTACGGAATGGCTCATATATCAGCCACTTAGCCTGCAGATCTGCAGGCCACTGTCCATGCACAAGGGCCGTCTTACTACCCTCACAGAAAGCAACTCCGTTGTTGCTCTGAATAGTCAGCAATCATCACTATGCATAAAACATCAGAAATATATGCACAGACTTCTGATGGTAAGAGTTGTATAAATGACTTACAGTGGTTCTATCATGTTCGGTGTGTTATTTCTTTCAATACTGATAACAGTGTAGACAATCTATAATTTCACAATATCTCTACTCTCTCCCTTCCTTTCTTTTTCCTCTCTTTCTCTCTCTCTTTCCTCTGTGATTTTGTTACACTCATTATAGAACACAGGGCAATTCAATCAGGAGGTCTGTAGAGAATTGCGATTAGGCACATACCTGCTATTCTTTCCTGATAACACTCATTTTTCCTAATCTACTGAGAAATTGATTAAGTAATTTTCATGTAAATGTGAAGTCTGAGATTTCCCTCCAAGTAATAACTTGTCAGATACTGATTTGTCTATGAAAATGCAATACAACATCTTAATGCTTGGATAAATTGCCTGTCACAGTAAATATACTCAAAATTAAATACTTGTATCAAAATTAATGGAATTCAATCATTGGCATAAAGTAGGGAAACTTGATTACTTTGATCTCTGTCACCACTCTGTTTTTATTTTGTTATGTGGGATTTTAATTCCACGTTCAGTACATTTTCCCCAGCATGATGGTTATGTACTATATAACTCTGCATTATAGAAAAGAGCATACTAGAAGACTGAATTGTTTTGTATTCCTTCATCTGCTTTGTGCTTCCTCTGTGGTCTTGTCTCTGAACTATCTATATAGGCTGACTTCTCTACTGCTCATGGCCTCCCCAGCCCTTTCTCTAGAAGACCCAGGCTTTGTAGACTCAGCCTTTCTCACTCTGACTCACAGTGAACTAGAATCATCTCTGTGAATCACAAGGGCAATCTCAAAGCTCCCAAAGCCCCCATCTTCAACTCTTCTAGATGTGTTCTTATGGGAAGCCAACTGTGACTCATTCCTGAAGCCAAATCTCAGCCAGCAGCTGAGAAACCTCTTGATCCCGAACTTCCTGAGCACAGACCTTGAGGACCAGGACCCCAAACCTCTGAGCACTACTCTCCTTCCTGTGAATGGATCTTTCCCGAGTCTCTTTGCTCCGTCCAAAGTTCTCTTCTTCCCCTGTGAAGCCCAGAGCTATGTGAACTCCCCTGAGCTTCTGGGTGGATGATGGTGCGCTCCCTTGTTGCTGTGCCTATCACGGTCCATGACTACTCCTCGTGGTGATGTACATCTCATCTGAGTCCTGCTCAGGCTTGAATTTGCTGAGCCCAGGAGGCTGGTTGTACTGCCATGAGTCCAGCCAGTGCTCCTCATGGTGCAGAGCCAGTCCTTCCTTCCTTCCTTCCTTCCTTCCTTCCTTCCTTCCTTCCTTCCTTCCTTTCTCAGTCTGTGATAACCTTTGCTCTTTTCAGCTCTCTTTAGCTAGATAACCAGAACTAAACTTTCCTGCTTTACTAAAGGTCATGGAGAATAGAGACTGGCCCCTGAGTGAGGCATGGCTTTCTTGTCCTCATACTTAAGTCATCTGAGGTTCGTTTTATTCAGGGAGTGCTGTATGTCTGGGCGAATTCACACCCAGAGGCAGACACACAATGCTGAATGCTCCTCAGACTGCACACTGAGTGTTCCTCAGACCACATGCTGAGTGCTCCTCAGACTGCACACTGAGTGCTTTTCAGACTGCATACTGAGTGTTCCTCAGACCACATGCTGAGTGCTCCTCAGACTTCATGGAGTGCTCCTTAGGCCAAACACTAAGACCGCATTCTGAGTGTTCCTCAGACTGCACACTAAGTGCTCCTTAGACTACATGCTGAGTGCTCCTCAGACCACATGCTGAGTGCTCCTCCTAATTTATTCTTGTACTCTTCAATGTAGCCATTCTACTCTTTGGCTATTAGGAGTAATATATCATATGGAATTTTATTTTGTCTTAGGGGGTCACATAGGTAAACGTGGTGGGGGGGGAACATGTAGAAGAGTTCCCTGGGTGTTTACCACACATGGGAATGCCCACACCACAAGATAATGTCAGTAGATGCAGGGAGAGGGCTTCAGGGTCACCAGGATGATTTGTTTTGCTAATATCTTTATTCTGATCCACGCCAACCTAACAGTATTGAAGTGATAACTCCTTGTGGTTTGAATTTATGTGTCTCTGGCAACTAGTGAGGATACCAGCAGGTTCTCATGGCTCATTTGATTTTCTGTCTTTTCCTTCTTGATGATGAGAGCAATTAGAACTCAGTCTCCTACTTGTTTCTTCCAGTGTATTTGTCACATGTTCTTATTCTACAGATCCATTCAGACTCATTCACAAAATCCCTTCTTACAACCTAGACATTCTCCCTGTTACATGATTAATGGGACAAAAATGATTGGATTTGTTTAATTGAGTTTACAAATAGTTCACCTAGTATGATTTCTGTTCCTTCTTCACTGTATTCTCCATTCGAATGCCTAAGTTTTATACTTTGCTATTTTAAAGATAATGTATACATAGATGACATGTGGATTTTTCACATTTCTTTTACAGACTTTTGTTGGGGATGTCCTCTTGCTTGTGAACCCATTCAAGGACCTCCCGATTTATTCTACCATGGTGAGTATGGACTGTACTATGTGTTCATGTATTTCTGACAAGCAAGGGCCTTCTCCATCCTGTTGTGAACAGGCCCTTACTCCTTATTCCTGACGCATGGCTGTTGTGTGAGAGCTGGCTCAGACATCCCTTGCCCTAGCATGTTCAGACGGCAGAGTCTGGTCACCTCACTGGCTTCCCGGAACACAGCAGCTCTGTTATCTCTGGTGGCCAGAGTCATTCTGTCATCTTCGCTTGACTCCTTTTACCCTGGTGTCCCTGAAGAGTCAGAATAGAACTAGTCCATTTGTAAAATAAAAGCTAAGTTTGTCATTTCTTCATGACTCAGGAATCTTTTTATACATTTGATTTAAGTCTAGTTTAACCAAATTGGCTAGAAACTCACGAGGACCAGAAATATTACCCATCCCATGGAGGACAGACAGAAATTAGCGTTTTAGTGAAATTAAAGTTTTGTTTGGGGGGAATAAATATGGAAATGCATATGACATTAAGCTACAATACTTTCTTGTAAGCAGGTTTCGAATCCTTGCAGTCTTAGGCTGTTAATGCTGAGGATCAAGGAGAGAAATTGTATTTGATGTGAATTCCCAGCTTCAGATTCCTCCACGAATATCCATTACACTGGATTTTGATGAGCTGATCTTCCGAAAGACAGCAGAATAACTTAAAGCCCGTGGACCAAGAAACAAGGGATTTCATGAGCCCCCACTTGAACGTTATGCCAGCAGCCGATGTGCTGAGAAGGGGATGCAATGGTACCTAATTTTCCAAGTGTTTTGTAGAATCAGCTGAGACTTAGCAGTAGGATTTCCTTTACCTTGGTAGGACAGGAGACTCGGGTCTGTCCCCTGGTGGGAAAAAGGCCTTTTCACAGCCATGCCGTTTTCTGGTCCTCTGCCCCAGGTCTCGCAGCTGTACCTGAGCCGCTCCGGGACGCGGAGCCCCTCCCTACCTCCCCACCTCTTCTCGTGCGCAGAGCGGGCCTTCCATCACCTGTTCGAGGAGCAGCGGCCCCAGTGCTTCATCCTCAGGTGAGGCCATCCCCTCCAACCCATACCCCGGGGTGGGGGGGACCAGCAAGCTGTGCTCTCCTCCCACCGCCCCCTCCCATCCATCCATCTCCTCCTCTGAAACTGGTCCCCTGCGTCTCCACAGTACATATACTTCCCTGGTTACAGAGGAAGGGGATCCATCCTTCTTCTACTAGAAGGAACCCCAGGTGTGGCAGAATCAGTGCCAACAACCTCAGCCTGAAACCCATCTCATTTTGAAGATCTAACACCTAGAACCACAGTGCTTCTGTGTCAGAAACAAGCACAGAGAAAGAAAAGATCTAAACGGGAGCTCACAGCCTGGTGCCAGCCCGGATACAGCTTTGCTCCTTGCTAGAGGATGCTTCCATGTCCCCTCACGGGCATTCACCACTCATCATGCCTTACCCCATGCATCTCTGCAGTGATGCTGCTCTGGAAAGGAGGTTTAGCTCCCGAGTACCTGAGTACTCAGGAGGATAGTTTACAATGAAGGGGGAAAAAAGGAGATACTGCAACCAAGAGGGGCAAAATGTGACTATCTACTTACAGAGGATCCAGAAATACTGAAGTATCCAAAGGAGATCCTCCTCCAAGAATTTTAGTTTACCTCAGGCCATATGCCTGCCAGCACTTGTAAGTTCTCGTGGCTTTACCTGGCTAATTGTGAGTGGTATGTGTTGGAAATTGAACATGAAAATATCATACCTCATAACTCTAATTCAAGTGAGAAAAAAAAGACAATTGTGTAAAAATGGAAGCCAAATGAGTCTCAAAAACACACTTGGACTTTTTTTTTGGGGGGGTCCGGTCATGGGGCCTGAACTCTGGGCCTGGGCTCTGTCCCTCAGCTCTTCAGCTCAAGGCTAGCACTCTACCACTTGAGCCACAGTGCCACTTCCGGCTTTTTTCTTTTTGCTTATGTGGTGCTGAGGAGTGGAACCCAGGGCCTCATGCATGCAAGGCAAGAGCTCTACCACTGAACCACCTTCTCAGCCCACACTTGGACTTTTAAGTGAGCATTTATTTATCAGTTCCATTTATTGTCTTTTTTGTTGTTGTTGTCATTATTTTCACTGGCCTGGGGCTTGAACTCAGGGCCTGGGCGCTGTTCCTGAGCTCTTTTGCTCAAGGGTAGTGCTCTACTACTTTGAGCCACAGTACCACTTTTAGTTTTCTGGTGGTCAATTGGAGATAAGAATCTCATGGAATTTCCTGGGCAGACTGGCTCTGAATTGTGGTTCTCAGATCTCAGCCTTCTGAGTAGCTAGGATTACAGCCATGAGCCATGAGTGCCTGGCTATGAGTTGTGTTCTGTGCTCTTGCTGACTCCTCAGTTCTTAAGCAGACCTGCCCAATGATGGTTTGTTGTCAGAGCCACTGGGCACCAGTAGTTCATGGCTACAATCCTAACTACTCAGGAGGTTGATCACGGTTCAAAGTCAAGCCAGGAAAAGAAGTTTGTGAGACTCCAGCTCAATTATCTAGCAGAATGCTGGGCTGATAATAATGTGACTCAATTAGTAGTGCACCATCCATGAGTAAGAATGCCCAGAAAGAGCAGAGAAAGGTCTCAAGTTCAAGCCCCAGTACTAGTGTGTACATGCGTGCACAGACATGAGCATGTACACACACAGGCATGCACTCAGCATTAGTCCCTATAGATTCTCAGAGGAGATACAGGAGGAGTTAGTGTGTCACTTTCCTCTGGGAATCTGCCCAAGACAGAGCCTTCTAATTGTGTTTTACCCGATTGCTACATATTTTTGCTTGTGGAATGTCTTCCCCAGAACTTTCTAATATTCTCCAGCACCAGAGCTCCTTTGGGACGTAGGTAGGGCAGGCAACACCACGTATCAAAACCCTTACTTTGAACAAAGCTGCATTTCTTCATCCATTCATGTTCCAAAGAAGCCACCAAGAACTCAACACACAGAACCGAAGAGCAAGTCTCACTCCGTGGGACATGTGGCATCATTCTCTGCTTACTCTGTTTTTTCTCAGCTCTTGTCTGTGTGGCTTTTGTGGTTTCTCCTAGCTTGGACCACAGTGAAGCCTCCCTCCACTGCTGCCAGTACATTGAGCCTGGTCCCCTGGGGCCCAGCTGAGGGGCTAGGTCCTTGCTGCCCCAGGAGCAGCTACTTTCAGTCTATTCCAAGTTCATTCTTTCCCAATGAACACCCCCCCCCATCCGTTTCCACAAATGAGGAAGGCCATTCGCATACCATCTCTGGGCTGCCCCTGTGTGCCGGGTGAGATGCTGACAGAGGGAAGTTTGGGATTTGGTCCTCAAAACTAGAACTTTTGGAAATGGATTCCCCAGACCTTTTCACGTGACCAGAAACAAACTTCATTCTCTTTTCAAAGTTCACAGGGACATCACATGTTATAGCCGGAAGGCTTAAGATCAGTCTAGAGGAGGAGGCTAGAAGCCTCATTTGCTGACAACATGAGACTTAACTCATCAAATCTTACCTCCTCTTCTGGCAACGTGCCCTTTAATTCGTTTCATTCAAATAAATGTCCGAAGAAAGGGTCAAAACATGTTGAACATGACAGCCAAATACAGGCTTCTTCTTAAGAGTTTTTCCTCAGGCTTCATAAATAACTTTATTGGATACTAGACTGCATTTGTACTTTTATACACTGGCCTGGGATTGTCTGCTGTTAAGAGCTATCAGGTCATTTGTTTGTAGAAAACACACCATCGATGCAGTCACCAACAAGTATGGTCTTCTGATAAATACGAGGTTAGTGGGTGATTGTGAGCTGAGCGCAGATTAAAGAAGAGTGCAAAGGTCTCCAAGGTACCTGGAAAGATTCGTGTGAGAGCCTGCAGCGCCAGGCATGCTGCTCTGATCGCAAGACCTCCCTGTGCTCGCCGCTATGTGCATCTTGAGTTCCAGTAGCCTCGTTTTCTAGAGAAGAACACTGGGAAAAGTGAGGGCTTTTCTTAGGAAGGATTTGTGGCTTCCCAGGCCAGTGTCCTATCTGGTCTGCACTCATCAGCATCCTGGAAAACAAGACCACTGAGTCTCTCTGGTCAGTCTGAGGCCTTTCTGCCGTTGTGCTGGAAGTGGGGGCCCTGGACTTCCAGACCTTCCATAACCAAAGTTCTGTCTTCCTGGAGCACGTGACTTAGGATGTGCTTCCTGGATGATGGGTTTCATGACTGAAACAGAAGAATGACTCCTTCTCATAAAGTCATCAGAGGGTCATGCCCTTCCCTCACCATCTTTGAGTCTGGGTTTGATCCCTGGGTATTTAATATTTCCCTTGTCCAAGCCAGTGAGTATGTGGTGTCCCTGTTTGCTTTTAGTGGCGAGCGGGGGTCTGGGAAGTCTGAAGCCAGCAAGCAGATCCTGAAGCATCTGACCTGTAGGACCGGCAGCAGCAGGGCGATGTTCCACTCCAGGTTTAAACATGTAAGTTGCTGTTGTCTGGGCAGGGGTGTGAACAAGTGCAGTGTGCCAAGAAAAATGTCACTTACCAAGAAAGGGGACTGTCCCGATGGGCAAACACCGGTCAACATGTAGGAAAAGAGTCACAGATGCAAGTATTTAAAGTAGGTGGCTCTGTGTTCAGCTAGACTGTGAAGCGGAAGAAGAAAAGATTTGCTTGCGATGAAGTGCTTGCGGCCTGTACCAACTTCTCTCAAAACTGCTGAATGGTTCTGTATTTCATGTCCCACAAACCAGCGTGGCCCAGCCCCGTTCCAGACAGTGTCTTATTCCTCTTGAGCCTTATACCATCATATCTTACCTGGCCAAAGCCACCTGTAGATGCAGACCACAATCTCTTCCTACTGCTTCCTACAAGTCCCCCCGTGTGCCTGTTCCTGGAGAGATTCAGGCAGGGCCCATACAGAGGCTCTCCATGTCTGTGTGGCATGCGTGAATATGAGGTGCCATATTTTAAAGAACCGGGGAACAAACAATGGTGGCAACTTTTCCACATTCACCTACTATACTATGACCAGAGGTGCTTAACAGGGCTAATCCATCTCCAGGCAATCAGAACCCTGAACAATTCTGATGATTTTGTTGTGTTTACATGAGATTTACCAAACCCTTGTTGAGCTAGCATTCCTTATGTCAGTCTCATAATTCCTTCCAAAGCTATTTATATCTGTGAGTCAAAATTATAGACTCAACGTAACTTCCCATGGAAACATCTTCTCATCCCTTTGCAACATAAAAAAAAAAATAGATGACATAACTAATGCATTTCTAGTCTCAAACCTGTCCAGGTTTTAGCACAAAAGCCACAAAACTATTAAACAAAACTCATACAGTGTTCATTTCCCTTTAGCATATCACCTACAGCACTATAGTAGCAAGTGGCTGATGTAAATTACTCAGCCAGCTTGTGCAAAGCATCCGGATATCATACAGAGTCAAATCCACATTGGATATTTCTCATGAAGTGACTGTTGGTAAAACTATGCATCTTTATGAAGGCAGCCCCAGGCTTCTACTTGGAGAAAAAAGCAATAGATAGCTGTCCTAATAGCACACAGCTATCCTGATTATAATCTTAATAGCATAAAGCTATCCTCATGATTGAAATTTATACCATGCAATATAAATGGGAATGATTATGCCAATAAAATGTGAATCGGTAAATATTGAGGATGCATGACTTACTGTCCTTTAGTTATATTTTTATTTATACATTTAGGGCTTTTTCAACTCCTCACATTATTTTGTTTGAAAGTGAAGGGTTCCATGGGGTAATGCTGGGTTCTGTTTCTCGGGGTTCCCTAACACATCTGTGTACTGCCACCTGCTGGCCTGCTAATGAAAGATGGTTATTGTAGTTTTGCCTGGGGCATCTTGAATTTCAGGGCATGTGCAAGGAAAGTTCCCATGTTGGGTGGGACGCCTTCCTTGTATATGTTGTTATCATTATTCCAGAAGTCCCAGCTGTGATGTTCTGGTCAGGTGATTAATTCTACAGTCATAACCCATGGGTTCGAACCCCACCTCCATTAAGAAAATTATTTATCTATTTTATGTGTGAGAATGAAATAGAAGCACACACTTCAGTGTATAATGTTGTCATGCATACAGTAAACACAACCGAAGTACTGTCTATAGCTGTTAAGAACAAAGGTTAATCAGTGTTAACTGATGATTGTCTATGCTTTGACAGACACAGAGTAACCAAGTGTCTTGCATACATGACACAAAGGAACATAGAAGAAGTCATTCCTGAGTGCAGGAAAATGAGGCTGGAGGACTTAAAGAACATGATCAGTACCTAAAATGTGTCACACACTAGCCTAAGATGGGGTACCATCACTTCCACTCCAAAGCTTATGTAGCTACTGTGACAGGACACTTCCTGTTGGGAGAGATTCCATCACCATTTGAATGTGGGATACTTCCTGTCTGGGGAGATTCCATTACTGTTTGAGTGTGCTTTCTTATACAGTCATTATTGCATCACCCACAGCATCATTTGATTACTGCTGGGCACTACATGAAAATAACTTGAAACCAAAATAGGTTTTAAAAATCTATCCTAGGAAGTGGTGCTGTAGCTCAAGTGGTAGAGCTGAAGAGCTGAGGGACAGAGGTCAGGCCCAGAGTTCAAGCCCCACGACCGACAAAAAAAATAATCTATCCTGTAGTTTTAGCCCTTGAAACAACTTTTACAGTATACACTATTAAAATGTGATGTAATTGTAATATTTATTTCACTATTTCATATTAGATTGCATATTTTTTCAGAAAATGTTTTTGTCACCACTGCCATCAATTCATTTTTCAGTCATCTTATAATTAGGTAAATCATTTGAGCCCAAACCATGGAGTTTTGTAAGGACTTAATATATGTTTGTCTCTAAAAAGTGGAAAAAGTGGTATAACTTACTATTCCAACTTCTAGTATTTTCAGGTTTTTATTAGAATCAAAGAGTTGTTTGATATGTTGTTTGATATTCATTCTTGATACAAAATGCTTCTGAAAGTCTTAGTATGTCAAATGACAAAACTGAAAAGTAGTCCCCAGAAAATTTTAAATGTATAATAAAGTTCACAAAGTAACATAACAAGAAATTACCAGAACTGGAGGAGACTGGGTATCCACTGGGGGGCGATTGTGCTCTCTCTTGTGGCTCACTAGGAAACTGCATCTGACGCATTGGAATCATGCAAGAGAAAGATAAGTCTTCGAGATTTTAATATCTGGGAGAAAATCCCTTGGTCACAGGTGCAATCAACAAATGAAGGAGAGATGCTTTGTATCTTGAGGACATTATTTAAAGAAAGTTCCCCAAAATCTTTTTTGGGGGGGTCCAGTCGTGGGGCCTGAACTCTGGGCCTGGGCGCTGTCCCTCAGCTCTTCAGCTCAAGGCCAGCACTCTACCACTTGAGCCACTTCCGGCTTTTTTTCTGCTTGTGTGGTGTTGAGGAATAGAACCCAGGGCCTCATACATGCAAGGCAAGCGCTCTACCACTGAGCCACCTTCCTAGCCCTCCCGAAATCATTTTAGATCTCAAGACTGATCTGGGGAGCTTCATTCCCTGAAACTTGTCATCCTGAAACAGCATGGGATGGGTAAGAATGTGAAGAAAGCCCCACAAGAGTCTCTGTCCTGCTTCTGAGGGAAGGCTCATTGGGATGAGGCAGAGGAGCAGGAGAGGGAGAGCTATTAGGGCCTCAGACTGAAAAGAGTCAGTGTCAACAAAGTGGTCCCAGGAATACAAGTGTGTACAAGTATTTTCAAGAATTCATGTTTTTAAAGCAAATTCTGACTAATACTTAAGTCAATTTTGCGTGCGTTGTGTGTGTGTATCTGTGTGTGTATCTGTGTGTGCATGTGTGTATGTGTATATATATGAGAGAGAGAGAGAGAGAATGTCATGCATGCCAGTCCTAGGGGTTGAACTCAAGGCCTCGATGTTGTCCTTGAGCTTTTTTTCTCTACCCACTTCTGACTTTTTTGTGGTCAGTTGGAAATACTAGTCATCTCATAGACTTTATGCTCTGGCTGCCTTTGAACCGTGAAACTCAAATCTCAGTCTCCTGAACAGTATTACACGCTTGAACCACCAATGCCTGGCTTAGTGCTTATTTTTTTCCTTCCAAAGTTATCTCTCCTACTGTTCTATTTATGTTTAAAATTTCAAATAACATTTGCTAAGCGTGTGTGTGTGTGTGTGTGTGTGTGTGTGTGTGTGTGTGTGTGTGTGTGTGTGTGTAAGAGATGATTTTCCTCTGTTTCTACACAGGGAGAATGTGAGGTAATCTATGCATCATTTTATCAGGAGTGGCTACAATTTAAGACATTATGTACTAATAGTTTGCATTTGATGAAAGACTACTTTACAATTCAGTATGAAGCTGGGCAATAGTAGCTCAGGCCTATAATCATATCATAGCTACTTAGGAAGCTGAGATTGGGAGAATTACGGTTCAAAGCTAGTCTCCCTCTCCAAAATAACTAGCACGAAGCTGGGTTAGAGATATGGTTCAAGTGTTAGGTAGAAGCCAAGCAAGTAAAGTTGAGTGAGTGTGAGGTCCTGAGTTCCAACTCCTGGTATAGGTATACACACACATGCACACACATGCATACACACACACACACACACACACAATCAATCAATCAATCAATATGAAAAATATGGTAAGTATAGAACATTCTAGACAATGGAATATGTCCTATTTGTTTTCTGACTGATTTCATTTTTCTAATGTGTAGCTGCATCAATTTTATTTTTTTAGTGAGTAGATACATCAATTCTTCTCTCTGCCACAGGCCATGTGCATCTTGGAAGCCTTTGGACATGCCAAGACGCCCCTTAATGATCTGTCCAGCTGCTTTGTAAAGTACTGGGAAGTGCAGTTCTGTGAGCAGAACCGGCACGTGACTGGAGGTAAGTGTGCAGACAGTGAGGGAAGATTCCCTGTGCAGGGCCCTGGGCCATGTGAGTCCTGTCCTATCTTTCCAGAACATTCCAAGTGGCACCCAGTGCAGACATGCCAACTGTAACCCATCAGTGATCCGTGATAAGGAGGAGAAAGCCCAGCCTCTACCTTGGATGCATTGATAAACTCCTCGTAGTGTTCTGGGAAGTTCCTAATTCTATTAGAACAAGAACCCGGGTGGAGGGGGCTGCAAATGAGTCCACCAAAGTTATTGTGAATGGAAAAGAAATTGCAAGGTGCATCTTTCCAAGGTAATTTCTGTAGAGAGTATAATACTGTGGAGCAAACAAAGCCAAGGTAGTTGAAATGAGCCATAGTTACTAAACACAAAGGAATTCAAATACCCAACTCAATCAGCATTCTACAGATCTACAACAAATACAGCTGTAGTGAAACAACTCCTATGCTGAAGGGAACTATGCTGAAGAACTTTTGTAAGAAGCATCAGTGCATGGACATTTGCTAATCATCAATGATTTTTTTTTGAGAGCCTGGTTTTATCTGGTCCTGGTTTGGGCTATCATCTCAAAATAAAAATATCTCTGCTCCCCAGCAAGTGTCCATAAAATCAAATCACCACTACATAAATTTAGATACACGATACATATGCCAGGAACAAGAAAAGATCATGAGGCTTGAAGTCTGATGTTTAGATTCTGCCATGGGGAAGTTATGATCCTTTTAGATCTGAGGCCGGGGGGTTCTCCAGGCCGCTTTCTTCAGCATCCAGCCGGGGACCCGCATCTTGGTTTTCAGGACTCCAGGGAGCCTGCTTCTGCGTGCAGTGACCAGCACAGTTTTGCTCTGAGCTCTAACTGACCAGCAGGTCACTGCTGCAGTAGCTAAGTTTGCAGATGCTTTCCCCCGGGGTCACAGTGGCTAGGAGGGCTGCTGGTTCCTCCGTGAGAGGATGACAGATATCAAAGGCTGCATTTGCAGCCCTCAGCCCCTCTGGTAGTAGTCCCCCGGCATGTCTTTTACTTCAGGAAGTTTCATTCACAAACAAAGTCCATACTAGAAGAGCTGCACCTGATAGGCAGTTCCCAAGCCATATGCCAATCACAGTTTCCATCGCAGGCAGGCAGGGAGGAGCGTGCATGTGCCCAGTGATGAACCTGCAGCTGTCAGGACCCATGTGGCCTCTGGGTCACCTAGGAGCACAAATAACACTTCAGTATCATGTCCACATTGTCCTGTGGGACTTACAAATCTTCTCCCAAGGAAGCAGGCAGGCAGAGATCTCTGAAAGCCTCTCCACATTGCTGCCCCTCACGCCCTGCTTCCTCCCGCCCTGTTCTCCATGACACCCTGCATACAGCAGCAGCCTCTACTTTGTAGCTTCTTCCTAGGTTCTGTTAAAATGTGCCCAAGTTCTCTGGTGGATTATTTTTTTAACTGACCTTTTCAAGTGAAGAGTACCACCTTGGGACACCAGAGCTGTTTGAGAATGTACCGAGTTAACCTCAGAGCTCCGACCTCTGCCTCCTATGCTTCAGTGAGAAAAAAAATGTCAGTGATGTGTTGAGAAGATGTGTCCCAGAGAGCAGAGCTTGAAGGGTCACAGTTTCGCAGAGGGCTGGCAAAACTGAAAACAGCCACACTGAAGAGAAAACCTTCAAGTGAATTCTGACCCGTTTCCCTGCCCAGGCTCTACCCCGAGAACATGGAGGTGTGTTGTCAAGCATATGAAATGCTGGACAAGGTCACAACAGGAACATAGAGGCTGTGTGCTTCCTCGTCTGGACCTTGAGTGTCCCGTGAGGGGAGGCAGGTAGCAGAGTGCAGAGCACTAAAACCAGTCCAAGGGCTCCATCCACGGAGTGATTCTTCTCTTACTCAATGGATGCTAAGTGCAGTAATGGCATCTTCTTCTCACAGTTGGTCTGGAGATGGGGTGTCCAGTTGTGGGGTTTGGAGGTTTACTGGTCTCCTGGTGCCTGCTGGCATGGAGCTAATGAAGCAGGGAGTGTGCTGGACTTTGTTAAGCTCCTGAGCTGTTGTCACAAAATGGACACACGCTGAAAACCACCGGCTGGACTTTCTGGTCATCCTGGAGGCTGGGAGTGTGGATTCCGGTGTGTGGAACTCCGTGCTGGGGATGTCTGCAGCAGGGGCCATTCTGGCTGGTTCATCCAGGTTCCTGAGCTGACTGCCCCTTCTTTGTCTTTGGGCTATACACCCCTACCTGTCTCCGATGAGGCATGGCCTTGGCCCTGCGCCTCTTCTCTTCTTAGAAGGATATCAGTCAGGTGGTTTTGGGGACCACCGACCTCCCAGTGGACTCCTTCGTAAGTTGCATGCCTCCGTGGTTTGTCTGGTTCCCCACACGAGGGCCTCATGTAATGGGGCTGGAGTCCACTGTCTTCTTTTCTGGCACACAATCCAGCCAGTGACAGAGATGAAGGCCAGGCTCCCTCTCCTAACATAATTCCAAGATGAACAACCGGCACCACCGAGAAAAATACGCTATGATGACTTTAAGAAGCTATACGTACAGAGGGTATCGGTGAGAGATCTTTACCAAGATGTCTTGTAAAAACTGAAAGCTGCATTAATTTAAATTATTTTGCACCGTCTTCGAGGAGAGATGAATTGTAAATGTCACTAAAATAGTTCATCAACGTGCAGCCTGGCTGTTAGAGTAAACCCACTTCAAATAAATGCAGATTAGAGGCTGATTTTATACTACATAACAGACAGCACTGCCTCAAATTATCAATATATATACCATTTTATTGGACAGGGAGTATCATCAGACTGATTTTAAGTTTAATATGTACAATGCTTCCTTTATTGTCACCATTAGGGTGACAGTGCTTTTATACTTTTATGCCAATACGTCCCTGGGGATCTAACCACAAATCACAACATAGGAAATATCAGGTTCAGTTTTACGAAGCATCATCTATGGAAAAGTAAAGATGGTTAACATTTTTGGGAGAAAATCTAATTAATAAATAACATTCTAGACTGGCTCTAGGCCCAGAGTTCCTCCCCATCTGATTATGTTAGCAGCTCTGAGTGAATAAGAGGAGACATCTTTCAGGGTAGAGTGACTTACAAAGCAGCTTACTCTCGTCACAAAAGGGAGTTTGTAGGAGATCACTGGATAAAAAGGACACGTTTGCCAAAAGAGGTTTTTCGGTTTAGGGAAAGTATGCCGGGAGAGGGTTGATTTAGCCCTAGCGTGCCTTTCTTGTGAACCTTGAGGAAAGTTGTCAGAACCACTGTCATTCTCTCCACTATCCACATCTTATAGGTCAGATGTGGGGCTTCCATGAAGGTGTGTAGGGAAATTCACAGGGAATCAGTAACAGACACGTGTCCCCAGGCCTTTCTGTCCCCACCACGGCCCCACCTGTCCTCCTACGGGAGCACAAGGAGGACGTCGGCATTCGCTTTAGAGTCTGCTCCCATTTCTAAGGATACACACACGAGGGGAAAGTCATCCGACAGAGGAAGCCAAGTGCTCTGTTGCTTTGTCCTTACCTCAGTGTGCCCTGTCACTGCTTATACTCCTCCAGATTAAGAGGCCACATTCCCACCGCCTGACTTTCTCGCTTGTCTCTATTGGGACTCAAGCCACCAGATTCGTGGGAAGCCAAGGTTCGGTTGAAGCAATCTTCCTGCTTTCCCCCATGATACAGAGGAAAAAGAGCTCATGGTGTAGCTTCAGCGTGGCCGTTGGGGTATGGAGCCCCTCACACTCTCATCTCTGCTGGAGGAGAAAGCCAGCTCCATGCATGCCTCCTTCTTTCAGCCATGTTTCATCTGGTTGGAGATACGCTACTTTTGACGTTGGATGCTTCTGGATCTCGTAACAGGCAGTGTGGCCGTGTCACATAGCTGCCTTTGAAAGAGAAAAGACCACGTTGAGAACATGAACCATGAAAATCGTGGCCATGAGCATGAAGAGCGAAGTGACCATGACCAACCTCTCGTTAGATGAAGGGGACCGACGGGAGCCGAACGTTCACCGCTGATTCTTCCTGGGCCTCCCAGACACATCTTAGTCACAGGCCAGATGATTTTTCACAGAGTGAGGCTATGCAGTCTTCTGGAGTGTTTCTTATTGAAGAAAAACATTGTTCACCAGAATATGGCTGGAAGAGCTGTTCAAAGCTCACCACTTCCCAGAAAACACAACTTTGGCGTAACATCGACAGCAAGGAAAGACTGGTGGACTCCGAGGCTCCCAGTGCTTCCGCTGGATCCTGCCTGTGGATGGCGTCCACTGCCCTGGGTCAGCACTGACTGCAGTGAGGCTGGAGCCCCAGGAGTGAAGAACAGGATCATCACAGCCACTGCCTTGCCCTGGCCTGGCCCCCCGGCTCTCCTTCCCTGATCTCTCCTTCCCTGGCTTTCCATGCCTCCTTCTTTCCTCTGTACAGCCCTGATCATCACCCTGAACTCTTAAAGGCCCCCAGGAGTATACAATGTGTGAACATGGCTCTTTAAATTACTCCCCTTTTTGCTCTTCTTCCACACTCATGTCAAATCTAATATTCTCCTACGCTCAGAAATACACTGGAGTTACAGCAGAGAGAAAGAACACATATCTGACAGAAGATCTTAGAAAACAACCAAGTCTTGAACTGTTATTGCATTGGTTCACGGACCATTGTTCTCTGCTCTGGACACTTGCAATCACGAGGTCCCCAAGACTCCCAACTCAGAAGCTCATCTTCTTCCTGCCTTGCTGCCATTTCATTTCAGACAAGGGAGTTCTCTCTGCTGAGATGACTGGAAGACACTGGTGACAGTGATTCATGAATGTCTTGCTGGCTTGAGTTTGCTGCCAGCTAAAGGACCCACCAAGACTCTTTTTTGTTTGTTTAAATCTCACTGATCAGAATCCCAGTAATCCACAGCAATTTCCTTCACTGCTGGAGCTGAGCTAACAAAGATGATTAATAATTGTGCTGGTGTTGAATTTAGATCACAGTCACTCAGTGACCTGGAACTTGATTAGTTACGAGTATAGCTGTTGGCAATGCCAGTGGGTTTGTGGAGATAAATGTACATTCTTCAGCCTTCTCTCCAGGACCAGAAGCACCAGAGTGGCCCAGCTACGAGACCCTTCTAACTAGAAAGGAGGCACAAAGGAAACAGAGCTCCATAGCTTGTTTCAGAACTGTATAGATTTTTTAAATAAAAAACTACTCACTTGAGCACCCAATTATGGTAGCATTAATATTATTAACTTTAAACTTCAAGTCTTCCAGGCAGAATGTGTTGAAGAGGAAAAAAAACAGGAAAAGAATGAAAATTTTCAAAGGAAAGCTTCAGCTTGAACTCATCACTTGACTGAGTGGTTGTGGAGATGAGTGAACACACACACACACACACACACACACACACACACACACCTTCTCCCACTCCCAGGGCCGGGGCTGGAACATAGATCTACAACTGGGAGCAACCAGCTGAACCCACAGAACTGTGGGACCTAACCAACTCTCAGGCATTCTATGGCCCTCAGTTGGTGAGAATGTCACCTCGCTTAGTGGCCATACTGGTACCTCAGTTTTAACCCAGTACCGTTCAAGTAATAAATAGTTGCTGGGGAAGGAGAGGAGAGTCAGTGGGGTTTTCAGTATTTCTACCTCATATTCCTGGAAACATAAAATCAGCCTTAGAAGATAAATTCTGTTCTTTTCTTCTTGTTATTGTTAACATACAAAACATTAGAGAAAACCATGTGCGTTGTTATCTCTCATAATTAACTAATCTGTATGTGTCATCAAAATAAGCTAAAATGTCATCTAATGGAATGACTTCTCTTTTTTTAACCAGCCAGAATTTATACCTATATGCTAGAGAAGTCCAGGCTTGTGTCTCAACCAGTTGGCCAGAGCAATTTCCTGATTTTCTACTTGTTGATGGATGGGTTATCTGCTGAAGAAAAATACAGACTTCACCTTAATAAATTGTCTGCCCATCGGTGAGTGATGAGCCTTTTCTGTCCAATAGTACTGCCTTCAAATGGGGATTGCACTTCACAAGTTCTAAGCTGTGCCATTACATTTTAGAGAAGACATGCTGGCTAGTAGAATGATGTCCTACTATGTAGTACTATGAGGTTGGAGCCATTTGTTAAGCAGAGTTCTAACTGCATGTTGAATGTTAGGATGAAGTTTTATTTATGTGTATGAATTTATATTTCTATTGTAATGGTTTTTAGATCAGCGTGCAAAAATACTTGTGTATATAATCATCGATATGCATATTGTTCATATATTTCTATTCCTTTTGGTATTCAGGATATCACATTAGTTCCGCACTCCTCATCTTGGTCTTCTTGGAGACAATGGTAACTGTTATATAATGGCGTGTTATTCATTAGTAATAGATGGTGACATAAACTAAGGGGCCGACTTTTCTCACCAGGGGCAAAAAAACATTGTGTTAAAATTGGGAGGAATTGGTCACACTGAGATTGCGAGCTGAGACATGTTCACCCGTCTGCCCTCTGCCCCTGTGAAGCCACTGGCTTTGGGCCAGGGTTGGAGGAGGGAATTAGAACTGAGAAGAGGAGTAAAGCAGAGCAAGGAAGGGCAGCACGTGCAGACTTTCTGTTCCAGTCCAGGCAGAACAGTTTGTGTTCCCAGGCACCGCAAACTGTTTGCACACTCAGGCTGCAAGAAATCACCTACAGGGATTATTTCATTTCATAATTTTTGTTAAGACAGTGAAATAACAAGCCGGGAGCCGGCGGCTCACACTTGCAATCCTAGCTGCTCAGGAGGCTGAGATCCGAGGATCACGGTTCAAAGTCAGCCTAGGCAGGAAAGTCCATGAGACTCTTATCTCCAATTAACCAGCAAAAGGCCAAAAGTGGACCTGTGCCCCCCACCCCAAAAAAGACACCAAGGCAGGCTAACTTCATGAAGAAAAGAGACCAGCTCACCGTTTGGAGCCTGAGAGGCATCAGAGCCTCGTGCGGGTGAGGTGCCTGGACTCACATGGCAGAGGGGCGGGCAAGGGCGGATTAGGAAGCCGGAGCCCTGGAACTAGGGGGCTTCTTTGTCACTGTCCTCTGGGAGAACCGACCCGGAAGCAAAGGAGAATTCCTTCCCCCTCCCTTCACCCCGCTCCTCTGCAAGGGCATCCCTCAGGGAAATGCAGAGCTCAGTCTCCATCGGCCTCTCTGACATGGCTGCACTGAGGCCCCTGCTTCAGCAGCCCCTGGAGGGGAAATGCAAACCATTGTCCACCCATGGACAACACGGAGACAATCCATTGGAGGGGGAGGAGGGAGAAGTAGGGGAGGGAAGGGATTCGTGCCATGCTGATCTGGGTGGCAGCAGGTGGAAAAGCTGTCAGGCCAGCAAGTCCAGGAGGTACCGGGACTAGGTAGGAGCTGGAAGGATTTTCTGGGGAGAAGGAGCCAAACTGAGGTTGGACTTAGAGAACTGGTTGAAGCATCAGGGTGCTATCAGTCCCCCATGACCGTGAGTGGTCAGAGAACAAACCAGCCATAGAGATGATCTATTCTGTTACCAATGGCTACTGTTAAGCTTCCGTGAAAAGAAAAATAATGATTCCCAGTTTCTCCTGTGGTAGAAGAAAAGTTGTCAAACGTAAAAGCTCTTGTGTTTTATTTAAAGCTGAAGACTATTTGGAGTCCCTAAATGACAATGGAAACTTAGAAGGGAAAATCATACTCCAAGGGGTGGCAGGCCTGGCAGACAAGTTAGGAGCAGACAAGACCCTGGGCATGTTGTTTATCTGAGTCGGAGAGCCCTGTGGATGCTTGCCCTGATGTGAGCAAACCACACTGAGGTAGGACCAGCAAAACCACACTGCAGCAGTGCTGGTCAAACCGCCACTACTGCCACTCACATTCTGTGTTGCCATCTCCGCCATTTCTAACTGAACAGGTCAGCAGAAGGAATAACCATTGTGTTATCCACAATGTTTACCCACAGTCTAGCCGAGAGGCATCTCTAGGGAAGAGAAGTAACTTGCATTACTCTACCTCAGTCTTTCCTACGAGAAAAGCTCAAAGCCCACAGCAGAGGGCTGGACCCAAGGGTATATCCGTGTCCATGAGTCCCATGTGCGTGCAGGTATGTGTGTGCATGCATTCAGGTATGCACATGTGTGTGCAGGCATGCACGTATGTGCACTATGCATGTGCATGGCTAACTTGGTAGACACGAGCCCCGAGCAATCCCAGGCAGTCACTTAAAGACACTGTGACAACTTCAGCTTCATCTTTGTGTCGACGAGTCTTCAGAAGATGGGAGGGTGGGTCACTGTTCATTCCTCGGCCTTCGTTCACGTATTCCTGCCTTCCTCCAAGCATCCGGAGTGGCTTTGGCTGTTGTGGAAGCCCAGCCAGGGGTGCCTTTGGGAGGGGATCTTGGAGAGCAGTGAGCAGTGAGCAATCATGAATAATTCAGTGTGGTGAACAAAGCAAGTGTTTTATTAGGCTATACTGTGAATACCTAATTCCACCAAAAATACACACTACTGCCCACATTCCCAAGGACAGTGGTTGACATGCTTGTACAATGGTCATTCATTCCACAAAGCAGCTATTCCATTTAACAATAAAGCAAACCATCTTCACCATCATAAAATCTTACATATTACAGTGTTTGTGTAACTCATATAATCGTCGTGTCTTTTTTGTAATATTGGTGGAGCTTTTCACTTTCATGACTTTGGTGAGGAGTTTTTCATTGCTTGGATGTTTGAATCCACATTGAGATCCAATCCTTGCTGTGCAATTATGCATGCTAAGTTGGGAATTCTTTGATTTGTTTCCAATCAGAAATACAAACCTGAGGGGCTGGGAAGGTGGCTCAGTGGTAGAGCGCTTGCCTTGCATGCCTGAGGCCCTGGGTTCAATTCCCCAGCACCACATAAGCAAAAAGAAAAAGCCGGAAGTGGTGCTGTGGCCCAAGTGGTAGAGCGCTAGCCTTGAGCTGAAGAGCTGAGGGACAGCGCCCAGGCCCAGAGTTCAGGCCCCACGACCGGACCCCCACCAAAAAAAAATACAAACCTGAATTTGCTAGCTTTCTAAACTTTCCGAGGCCTTCTCCCTTGTTTGCTTTATCTTCTAGTCTGTTCCTTAACACTGGTGCTTGTGAATGAAGGACAGCCCTCAGGGCCCAGAACTCAGGACTGGGCTGTTGGAATGGGCGTGCCTCTGTGTATGCAATAGGCATGTGTACTTGCTGCATCATATATCTGTTAGCCTGATTTCTTTACAAGAGCTTCTGATCTTCTGTATTAGATAGAACACACCAGACTCTTCACAGTCATCCAAATGCCACTTTCTCCCCCACCCCATTGTACAATAGGGGATGAAATGGGAGTGATGTGTGTGTGTAGCTTAAAGGAAATGCCACAAAACATTCCAACATGTCTTGTTTCTTCTTACACCAACTCATTACCTAGAAAAGAAAAGATAATGTGCACTTGCAACCATAACTCAGCTGGAAGATAGTCCAAATTTATATGGTGGCCTTCTATGACTGTAACACAGAGAGAGACAGAGCTGTGGCTCATGCCTTTATACCCAGCACCACACATCTGCTTGACAACACTGGCTCTGTATTTAGATCTCAGTTTTCAAAGTTCCCCATAAGGATACATGGAGGCTTAAGCATTAAACCTCCTTTCTTGTTTGTGACATGCCAGCTATCTCTAGAACAGCACCGTCACCAGCCTGCGGCCTGATACCTGCTCACGTCTCCACCCCTGTGTGCCTAGAAACTATACTCGTGACACTGGCACAAGTGTCCTCCACAGATTGCCAAAAACTGGAAGGAGGCCTCCTGTTCTGTGCCATATTGAGCTGGGAAATAAGATTTCATGTATCTAGAATTCCCACAAGATGGTAAGCTTCCCACAAAGTCAGCAAAACAGATCAGATCAACCACACAGCAAATGGAGAAAGAAAGGAACCCCACCAAAGTGACATACTCACCAGGGAAAGCTTTTTGAGTTATTGTAGTCATTTGTGGTGATTTTCTTTTCCTATGCTTTACTTCTTTATTTTTCAGATTAGATTCCTGCTTGTAGAGCTTATTAACAAAAAACTTCCCTAAAAGTTTCCTCAGTCCTTCCACTAATTCCCTAGTCCAAAATTTCACTATGAAATTCTTCATCATCTGAACCCTGACCCACGCACATTCATTTTGCTCCCAATTCTTCTCTCTTCACTAATCAGCACTTACATCCAGTAGGCCTCCAGCCTGCCGAGCCTTCTGTGTCCACTCCGACTTCACTTTTGAATCATATGCACACACAAACACACATGCAAATGTGCACACACATACATACACACAAATATCTGTGCACCCCCCACATGCACACTGAGAGAGGAAGGAAAGATATTCTGAGAATAAAACCCCACTAAATGCATGGAGCTCCATATACTTTAATGATGATCCTTTAGCTAATATGGATCACACAAGCGAAACAAAAAATATTGAAATTTAAATTTATCAGTTGCATCAATTAAGTTTTTTATGTCAGGAATCAAGCATTCTTTCCCTAATCTCTTGTTTCTGGTTAAGAGACAGGCAGGAATTTTATTTATCCTCTGTGGAATCAGATTTCTTTATAATTTAGAGAGGAAGATGGTATGTAACACGTGTGGCTAGAAAGAAATTGAGCTCAATCTTCAACCCTGCTGGTAAACTTGGTTTTGGGTTTTTTTTTCCTTTTCACTTTTTATACTAAGTGAATAAGCCAGGCCCAAAGAAAAGTAGGATGCATGGTTTCCCTAGAACTAGAATATGTGATATTCTTAACAGGAGATCGCAATAACACAACTGCTTAGTGCATAGGACCATATATAATGAAGCATATGAACATGAACTCCAATGTATGGAAACAAGAGGCTCTTATTAGGCCCCATATGTAGTTTGTTCTTTTTTTTTTTTTTTTTACTTTTCATTGCTCTTAGTTTTCTGTGTACTTCGT